TCTTTATAATTTTCTCCGTTCGATTTTCGCATGTTGAAAGCCCAATTTGTTAAAATATTAGCGAGTTGTTCATTTGAAGTGGTTTCCATTAATTCATAATTCCTGTCGGCGCAAAAGGAAGAAAACTGTTTCCAAACCATGTTTTTCGTTTTAATGGTGTTTAACGGCACATTTTCCTTAGTTTTTTCTTGTATATTTTGTAGCGATTCTACACCGAAACGACTCATTTTAGAGAAAATGTTGCACTAAACTTGTATTAACTTACAAACGTCAAAATTACGATTACTAAGCGTTGTTAAACAAATGTCTTTATAGACATGGGTTGCTATTTGTTTCAAAAATATTTTCGCTGTCTAGCAACAAGCAGGGGTATATCCGAAAAATATCCGAAATAATTCTCTCCAGTAGCTTTGAATACGGCGTTTTCATTGGTCGACTGTTAAATGTGAAAAATAATCATAGAAATACATCCGTTCACTTATCTCTCTTTAGTACCAAAAATTATCGGATTCTTTATCTTAGCTTATAGGGTAAGGATTCCTATCCTTGTTCTAGTGAAGTGAAATCTAAGTATGGTAGTGGAATACATTTGGAAGAGCTTTTAAGCAACCAAATAAATAGATTTTATTCAATGACTACACTTTAAGCCTTGAAAACGAGTAGGTAATCTGAGTCTGTTCTCATATTCGCCAAAAAGTATACCATTTGACGACTTTCTGTCGTCTTTAGCATCTAAAGTACTGGTCCTATCAAAACATTCTTCTAATCGAAGTTGTAGAAAATGTACTGGCGCGTTCAAATAATTTTAAAATTTGTCCAATTTTAACCATTTTTGTACACTAAATTCCTAAAAATGCCCCACCTGCTCCACCTTTGGTATCGCATTTTTATTAGTTGACAGTTTTTCTCGTCTAATTGCTAGACAATAGATTTTCATTACCCAAACAACACAAATTTACCCAAAATATGTGCTGATTATTCGTGAATAAGGTGGGTTCGACAAGACGCCCAAGTTTTTCCTCTGTGAAAATTCTCGATAGGGGTAGCTAATGGACTGCACAGGTGTAAAACATGCCATTTTGGGGCCCACTGACCATTAAGGATTGCAAAAAGTTACATGTCCTGCATCTATTGTCTTATCATTTAAAGAAACATTTTTTAACATTTATTAATGCATAAAAGAATTGAAGGTACGATTTTACACATTTTTTCTGTGCACAAATTTGGACTGTCAGTGAGCTCCAAAATGATAGACGAGTGACTAACAGTAAGTTTTTTATTTAAATGTGAAGATATATAATTATTGGAAAATATACTCAGAAAAACAATTGTCGTACAAAATGAGTGGTCTGAGCATCCCCCACACCGGATATGTCAAAATGACGAGGCCACAAAAATTATTTACAACCAGCCAATTTTTTTTATGCACCTTAGTGTAAATGTTCGTACGAGTATAATAAAATAAAATGGCCACATAGTCCTACAAATTAGTGGTACTTTTTTCCACTTCTATACTTGGGCTACTTGTAACCCTTGCCAACCTCGCATCGACGTGCTGTTCGGCAATGACTTCAGGTTAATCAAAATCAAAATGGCCATTGTCGCGGATACGGCAACATCTGTTGTATACTTTTCAAGTGAAGGTACCAGTCTCCGCTTCCTTCAGCCTCGATTTATCGTTTTGCAATGCTTACCATCTTGAAGTACTCAACCCACAATTCAGCTGTTGCACCATTCTCTTCGAAGATCTCACTTGCATAAAATAAAATTAGACCTCTACGGCACTGTCAAAAATTCTACTGTGATTATTTCCTTCGTCTATAATAGTTATTTGTGTACCAAGGCCGTAAAAGTGATCTTTTTTGGCCGAAGCTGTTGTTTGTGGCCGAGGCGGTAGCCGAGGCCGCAATTCAGATGAGGCCTAAACAAATAACTTTTGGCCAAGGTGCACACAACATTTTTTAGGCGATCATCAAAAAAGAATTCAAAAATTTGCTCATAAACATATTTTTTCTGAAAATCATAGTTATCTTAGACAATTAAAAACAAAGCATTTCCTGTCGTATGTAATTATAATTAGCATCTTTGCGTGTGTTTTGTGCTTATCAAAATGGGCGATAGCGACAGTTCAGATACCCTAAATGAAATTTTGGAAGATGCAAGCATTGCGACCCTAAGTCATATATGATATAAGAGTTTGGTTTGAGAGTAAAAGTACAATCGCAACATCCTCCGTTGCACAAGATTTTAATAACGTCAAATGCAATAAGTCCTTCGTAACTGTGGCTTCCAAGACCTTATAGTTAACATGCTGTACAATTATTAGAAACCTGATTACCTACTTTGATGGCAGGTATAGGTAGCCACTTGTGTTTTCGGTTAATTGCTGGTGATTCTTCGTATAATAATGTAAGCAATAACATCTTCCTCATGTTTTGGTTCTACACTTCAAAAAGGTCTGCAAGCAGCAAAGATTGAAACGTCAAACTATAATTTTAAATGTGAACATTGTGATTATGCAAAATAGTGTGAAACATTCCTACAAGTCCGAAAATGAAAAAAACGCACGTGGATAGCCCAATCCTTGATAGGGCTAGACCAGATAGACGCTTTGTATCAAACAGATTACTGTTTCTCACACATCAGTTTCAAATATGTACAGTTTGACAGATGTGTACAATAAAGTAAAGTTTGACAGAAGCGTACAATAAAGTGAAACTTTATGGCCGCAAAAGCGACCACAAAATCACCGTTTTTGTGATGATAGCCTAAAAAAGTCAATTATCAACCAATCACACTTTTGATTCCTGTTTGACGAAACCAATCAACACCCTCCATTACCGACTATTTTGCATGGTGCACGATAGCCGACTATCAGCATGACAGCTTGTGCATCTGACAGCACTTAACTTAAACGTCAAAATCGTGTTGTTAAAGTTTTTGAAATGAATCGTTTTGGCGAAACCACGAGCGAAGAAATGATGGTGGTGTGGTCCAGTCTACAATCCCGCATAATACAGTGAGGAGTAAAAATAGCGTATGGAGGCAGTTCATCAAATTTTGCGAGCATCGTCAATGTGAACTAAATGAATCAACACCATTCACAAAACTGAATGATATTTTGACCTGGAACATGAAAAAATTAGATGGGGAATAAGGTTATAAAGAATATAGTGCAAAGTGTATGTGGAATTCAATTCGGTCAATTGATACCTATGTTTGTATTTTGTAGATTGTTGTTGATATTTTGCATAATGACATCAAACTGTTTCATTTTGTGAATATGCCTCTCTGATATAAATAATTGGATTCAAGAAATAATCTTCATAAATATAACACGACCTTGATTAATAAGCGACTATTTTGATTGCTGCTAAATTTCTCTTGCATTTATTAATTTGCCTTGACATAATTTTGGCGTTAATAATCAGATTATTAACGCCAAAATTAATATGTCTCGTTAAATTATTATAAAATATACAATCGAAATTTAGATGCAATCAAAATAGTCGACGATTTATCAAGGTCTTGTTATATTACCCTTGACAATTTACCCACGGCTAGCTCAGTGATGAAAATGTTTTTGCAACCCTGATCTTGCGGGAGTTTAGCCTATTATTTCCTCTTAAAATTTGAAATTCAAAACCTAATGCCCTGGTTTGATTGAACTCTAATACATACGCCTATGGTTTCTGGTACATTCTGCTGTTTGAAACATACATATACCCCTGAACACTAAACACATTTATAATCCAACCAAATGAATGGTATCACTGAAATTAAATGCAAATTTTCCAGTCAATTAAATAAAATGACCAAAATAATTTGTTTGGATTCGATTCCTATCAATAAGTGCAATACAAGATCTGTTCATGCAAATAATTCTCATAGGTCAATTTCTTTAGGAATATTAAAAATGCACCAAACAAAATTAATATGTAAATTCATAAAAATATCGGCTACTATTTTATACAAATCAAAAACTTTAAAATGTCTGACAATAATTGACGTGAATGCGATTCCTTTCAGGCGCAATTGATCTTATTTCTTTTTGGAAAATGCTGCTCCCTTTAGAAATATGGAAACAGACAGCTTCAATAATACAGTTAACTCGGTGATGAATTCAAAACAAAAATCTCCCTACGTATTGTGAACAAGCTTCAATTTCGCGAAAAAAATACTTGAAATCGTTATTATGCAACGGAATAAAATGCCGACGTTCCGTTGTATCGATATTAATTTATTAACTAGGTCTAGTTGCGGGTAAATGCACCGATTAATTGTATACAAAATTTGATTCATCGGACAAAAAGCTGTATAAGGACGTCACACAAACAGTGTACGTGATCGCTCGTTAACTAGTCTTCGTCTTTAACGCACCCAATAGTACATTTCTACTCGCGAAACCAAGCTAGAATTTCTCGCTTTTCCACTTTTTTGCTTTTTGAATCTCGCCCGGTAGAAATACCGAAACAGGCCTTCCTTTCTGAAAGCAAAGAATTCGACAGCGTACCTTCTTAAACGACCAGTAAACCTGAATTTCTGTCACGTGCTCGGCTTTAAACAAAACGGAATAAAACATTTAGGTCCCACGAGATCGTGTTGCTGTTTCCGCAATACGTTTTTTGTTATCGCCAGACATACATTCATTCACGTTCGCTCTGAAGGAGTACGTCCGTAAATTTCCCATACTGAACAAATTCAAATTCGAAAAAAATACTTTTTTTAATTCTAAACACCCACCACCCGTTACAACGTGCCCACTGATTCATATTTGAAAGTGATTTGGTGCATTACATTTGCATGGAAAAGGATGGGGAAACTTCAACATGTTTAATGTTAAAGTTAATGTTAAGCTCCTGTGCAAAAAGTCTTTAAAAACATTTTTTTTAAATAATACATACATTGACACGTTACCTTACAAATATATTTCTTTATAACTTGCATTAAGACGCTAAATTTAAATCGCCCTCTGTGAAACTTTTTTACATCTGACATAACCGAATTTATTGAATCGATCCCGTGCGATTGCATTGTAACCTCTTTTTTGATGCCATTCCTGCACTTCTAAACTGTATTAGTATCACCAAATAGGTCGTCACGCCGGCCACAATCTGCAACAGATAAACACTTTTGCAAAAGATACATGGTTTTCATCCAGGTAAGTGATAATTTCACAGAGATTAATTTGTACTTAGGTACTATAAGTTTTTAACTCTACTTGTATCGATTTCGAATATTCAATAATAGCCTATCTATATGCTTTACTCGTGCATGATCAAGTTATTAAAAATAGTCTGTCCGTCAGTAAATGTGTGGAAAAGACATTATCGTTTTAAAGGAAAAGGCAAATACTGATCTATGTGGTCTGCTTTAGTATGGTGTGAAGGACACCATCTTCGCTTCTCACACTTTACATTTATTGAGCTACTCAATTATGAGTTCCAAGTGAGGGCCTCCTAGCAGTAAAACCACATCCTTCAAAGCTCAATCAGACTCACACGAAACAATACCTTCAAAGGCTTTTTGAATACTCTTATAAAAGTTACGTAATGTGATAGCTTAGTAACAACATAAAACAACTCTAACATGGAACCGCTAGGTTCTCGATAAGTGTACGCTAGATCACTATAAGTACATACCGTATGTAAAAGAGTATAGTCAAGAGGGAATAATCCGCAAACATAAAGCTGCAGACGGTTGTGGTACATCTGCAACGAATACATTTCAATCTGTAATAAATATTTAACATTTATCAAGAGGCAAATGGGATGAAGCGATAGAATTACCGTATCCTGAAGCTGCGAGTTTTTAGTAGCATTTCGAATTTTATGCATCAATCGAGGACACTTATTTGCCTAAAACGATAAAATGAATTACTTAAAACGCTTTATCAAGTCAGCAATTTTCAAATTGCTCCCCCAATTTAATAATACGATTGCGTCGAACTTCTGAACGACTATCAATCAATACCCACTCCATAATTATATTCTAAAAGCTACCGAATACCTCTTCGCATGTTGAGCTTGCAATCCAAACTATAAGAAACAATTCGAAAGCGCTTGAAGCAGCCCAAGCTGTAAACTGTACGTCCACATCCAAGGTCTCTTGCTCATCCTCGGTGCTGGAGAAATTAACACCGATCGTATAAAGAGCGGCAACTATAGATGTAAAGGCTATTGTTATTCGAAAGAGAAGTTGAACCGAAAATGACGTATTGATTAAGTTCGCTGCATCTGATAACTTGAGGTGTATCGTCACTACCTTTTCAACGACCGAAATTGGGTTCGATATCGTTTCAGCGCTTTTTAATATGCCCTTCGTCACGTCGGGATCAGAATTGGTTGTCAATATCCAACCTAAAATTAGTATAACTTCAGTAGTTGTATTCGTAGGTAACTTTTGCAGAAATTACAAGAAAGAGTACCAATCTCATTTATACACTGTATCCAAGATAAGAATGGGGATCTCGGAAACCATAGAAGATACGAAAATTGTTTCAACAGGATGGTGCACCCGAGCACATCGCGCGAAAATACCTACAGGAGAAATTTCCTAGAAAGTGGAAAATTTCTAGAACCACCTTTTGAAAGTGCTCATGTAAATTGTTTGTTTATTAAATATAAAAAAAACGTGGACCGTGTAGTACAGACATGTTTACTCTCCTAAATATTAACATAGCTTTCTCATACACTAGCTATATTTGTGAATTATTACAAAGGGATTTTTACTTACCCTCGCGAGTTTTATGTTCTCGATACAGCACTTCCAAATGCTCGTTTAAAATTGCATATCGATATTTCAATAAATGGATGTACTGAACATACTGCAACTCTGTGAGGTGCGTTAATAATAAGAAAGGTAAGATGATTACTAAATTCAACAGTGTTAATAGCACGTCTTCATCCATTTCTCGTCTTAGCCAAATCCATATGAATACGATGAACTGAACCACTATAATTAGCGCAATGTTGAGAATCAGCACTCCATAGCAACGTCTAAAAGAGAAAATGTATTATTGGTTACCTAAAAAAACCACGAATCAAGAAAAATGGCAGCGTTTGGGCTTACAGTTAGACTTAGAAGAGGAACACATAAATTCACTGGGTCCTGTTGCCTCTCCGAGAGTAAATGACTTTTTTATTAACAATTTCGATTTATGAAATGCTTTTTATAATAGAAAAAGAACCACGAAAATTGCAGAGACCTACTACAATACTATTTTTATCTTTCTCATTCTTAATTTATTTCCTCCTCATAATCGGTGAATCAATAATTCCTTTTGGATTTGTAAGAATCGATAAACGAAACATACTTACTGTAGTGAGAATAAACCGCCTCAACAGTATCAAAAAACGAATACTCTCGCGAGAATAAGCCAACTACCAACTATCGTGCTACTGTTCTCTACCTACTCCTTATTAAAATAGAGGGTTAGGGGGACCGGTTTTATCTTTCATGGAACTCTAATGAAAGGTCTCAAAAGGAATTAAGATTGTCGAAGGGAGGTACTCACAAAGAGAGATTGGGTCATCTGGAAGAAATATATCCATTGGTGATGTCAAAACTTTTAAAGCGAAAATCTGTTAAAGAACAGTACTCGCAAAGGCAAAATAAATCGTCTGGCGAGACACCTATTGATAAAGTCGAAACGAATGTCTTGGAAACCAAATGTCAGAAGAGGGTACTCATAATGGGCAAGTGAAACTTCTGGACACTGGTGATGTCAAAACTTTCAGTGTAAATATCTACAGAACGACGTGTCGGTGGAGGGTACTCTCAAAGTGCGGGAAGATCCTTTAAACGAGACGATGTGAAAACTAAGGGCTTGATTCTTCTCGCACTATACAGGCTGTTTCACGTAAACCGTTCGGTAAAAGTATTCAGGCTGTCATTGATAATTTAAATCTGAAAATTTGCATACCAACATTACCAACATAATTTTTTATGATCTATCAAAAGAAAATCTTATCATGATCGTTTCAGTTCCTGTTTTACCGGATATGTATAGCAACTTTCTTATTTTAAATAGAACACCCTGTATTTTATTGTATTTTATATACGTCGTTTGATACCACATTTTCCTATATACAGCATCAAAGGTTTTCAATTTATTCAAGATTTTTCAAAATTTTTTACGTTTGACTGCTATTCTTTGGAGCCCTGTACCACAGGCTGTACCTGTGACTCCGTTGACTTGAATTTCAATAAGTACTCCAAAATCGACAGTACTGACTTGATGCTACGTGACAATGATTTAAATTTTGATCGCCTTTCTACAGGGTGTTTTAAAGCTAATGATCAACTTTAATAACTTCAAATTTAATTTTTTCAAATTAAACATGCTTTATTTTTTTGGACTTTCAAATGAAAAAAATTGTAGATGTATGTACATTTCTTACGTCTAAAGTGCGTTAATAACTGCATCTAACAGTGTACTTTGTACGTTAAAAAATACTTCCAATGGAATTAAGTTATGCACATTGTATGTATTGTACGAGTACAACTTTTCACCCACGCACGCTTTATGTGCCTAACATGATACTACTTTTTTTTAGTGTATTCAATGACTAAGATTTCACTATTTAATGGTTTCACTTATACCAAACCTACTGTTTTCTTTTAGAATATCATAGATTGCTCAAATTATTTTATGGACTGCACTTTACAGTGGTAGCGTTGTCTAATTTAGCATCTCTCAAAGAAATTAAGCTTTCATATTATAGTAGCTTAAGTCATGATTTAAGCATTGTCTACTATTCACGATTACAATTCCTTTTGTAAAAGGATTTAATTATAATCCCTTTTACAGAAATACTAAAAAAAGCTTAACTACGTTGGATTTAATTCATCAAATGGAATTAAATCAAGAATTAATTCCATTTTGAACTAATTCCTGCTCAGACCGGATGTTAAACTACTTAAAAAAATTATCAAAGTCCTCGTGTGAGATCGAAGGGACTTCAGCGCATTTTTGTGTGGCAGATCAGTATTCTATTAGCCACTTTTTACTCAACCATGAATAAAAGATCTTGTCGAAGGATACCACATTCCCTTTGACGGTACCCACTTCCGATGTCCCGTTCACCCGCAATTCGCGTTTGAAGATTTAACTCCACCATCAGTAAGATCGTGTTGGGGGCTACCACATTCCCTTTGACGGTACCCACTTCCGACGTCCCGTTCACTCGCAATTCGCGTTTGAAGATTTGACTCCACCATCAGTAAGATCATGTCGGGAGCTACCACATTCCCTTTGACGGTACCCACTTCCGACGTCCCGTTCACCCGCAATTCGCTTCTATTGGCGACACGAGAAAGAGAGACAGACATTCGAGATTTACGAAACGTTAAAACGCGTGACAGAATTCGCAACGGAAGGTAAAAGGTGCCCGAAGTTGACTACCTCTCAAAGACGCGCGCGCGCGCCTTGCAAAAGGTCGTTAATTTCGCCTCTAGGCCAAAAAACAAAATTCCGCCACGCAGGAGTTGTGCGCGTTTACAACATCTTTCCGACGACACCAATTTGAAAAGAATCGGACCAAAACTGTAGTAGAAGATAGGAAAAAACTGAAAAACCTTCACGTTAGTATACTACGCTCGAGGATGACGCCCAGATGTCGCCAACCCCACATCATGTAGCCCTGTCCCCAAGGTTTACAATTTACACGGCTTTAAATCGATACATATCTTTTACATTGTTTCTTTGCAGAATTCAATGCATACCTACCCTAAGGAATAGCTAATTAATGCACCAAGAAACGCAATCAGGCGCCATTTCAAAATCATTGGTCAGCATAGTTACAGGGTTATACCTGCCCCAGAAACATCTTGCCCCTCCGGCGATAATGAAAACTTCAGCAAAATTAGGTACATACCTATACGGCATCCAAACAGATAGATCTTTGAACTCCTTATCAATCTCGTCCACATTCTTGAACACCTCAATTACTTTCCTGGAAAAGATCCAGCCGAAAGTAATTGCAACAAATACAATCAGCGCAATGACGTACTCCTGCAAGTTATCCAAGTACCTTTCAATTGCTTCATCACTCAGATCCTCCTTGAAACAAATACGAACGACAATAGCCGAGATATACAAAGCGAACAGGATGGCATATCCGATTATACTCAATGGCGAACGAATGTACGTCTTGGAACCATCACTCCTCCTCGTGAAACTGTAAGGTGCTAATCCCACAACTTGACAAAGTGCCTGCAATGGATGTAGAACTTCATACACATCGTTTACGTCTGACTTGACATGATTTAGCAGCGGCACAAGAAATTTTGCGCACATCTCGCCAACAGTACGATGCAATTTAACATATTTCTAACGTACTTATTGATTTGTCATCGTGAATGCAAATTACTTTAATGGGTACACCCTCCTGTTTATGACTCTTACTTTATTGATGAACATTAATTGCCCGGAGTAGTTCAGGTGTAAAAAACTCATCAATAAAGCTCGAACGAAATGGTTAATAAAACATACCCTCAACACATTTTAATAAACAGTGCGCGTTTCACCAGCAATTCCGCTATTATCCTGGAAACCAAGCGAATATTAAAATTTCAAAACTGAAGCAGAATTCAATTAGGTAGTCCACGTCGAGCTGTTCAAGTCGCAGCATTATGTAAACGCTTATGGAAGTATTGATTTCTAAAATAATGTGTAAAAATTATATTCGTAAAGTAAAATAAATGTTCAAAATACTATAAATAGTTGTTTGTGTCGTTAAATTTAAGCAGAACTTAGATTAAACATAGCATAAAGAAACCCATTGCATCTTATTTTTGCTCGCTAATGGATATTATAAGTTCCTAGATTTTTACGATGAAAATTTGAATAATTCTATAAAGCCAGTTTTATATATTCAAATTAAATGGCGATTGTACAAAAGGACGTTTGCTGTCAAATTTTTACATGTAAACTATAAATCCAAATAATTAAATCTCGTTTATTATAAACCTTCACATCTTATTAAATTAAATAAAATCTGCTTAACTGCTCATGACAGAAACCTGCAAAGAGAACTCTTTTCCACAACACACGTTTGGGATTTTAATATTGTTCATGAGAGGGTAGAAGTATACAAAGATTATTTACAAACTGTGTCTTAAAGATGAAAAACTACAAACCTCCTATCAAGTCTGTGACTTGATATTTAACAATATTTAAAAAATAGTGAAGTTTACTTTATGAAATCAGAAAAAAGTGCTCTATCAAATGACACAAAGGTAAAAAATCCATAAGAAAAAACATAGTTGATGATGGTTAATCGGAAACGAAACGTCAGACTTAAAATTTAAAACTAGCATCTTGTAGAAGGAAAAAAGTCGCCATATTAATGTGTCATTTATGTTGAAATATCTTTTTAAATAACTTCGGTATAAAATAAAAACGATTTTGCCAAATTTAAACTACCTACCTATCTCTTACAGTTTCCGAGATCCCCATATGGCCCTCGAATTTGAATCGGCCTGTAGCTATAGTTCTATATTTTACCTAAAATGCTTGGGTTGTTATATTGATATTTGCATGAAATTTGGATTAGAGAACAACTAGGTGTATAATCAAGGTGTTACAATCAGGATAAGACATGTTTTCATTGCGCCACATTTATTTACCACACTGAAACACTAACACATCTATAATCTTACATCAAAAAGGGTACCTAACGTGAAATAAGCTTGGAAGTTATTAGCACAAATGTCTTCGACTGTGCGATTGTGTTATTTTATGCCTAGGTACAATATAAATCTACATAAAATATTTACTTAGTTTAATTGGTCATTTGGGGAGAAAGGCTTACAAAAAACGCATAACATTACACATTTTCTTAAATAAATAGAAAATATAGCTAATAGTACATTTTTCATAATACTGAATGACATATTTTAACAGTGACGAAGTACAATGACAAAATGGCCATGAACGTGAATGTGTTGAATAAATAAGCTACACCCTAACGACAAAGAATATTTCAAGAATCTAACATGGAATATTTTTACCATGTTAGGATTATTCTTACAATATTCTTACCACATGTTAATTAAGCAATATTTCTGATAGGCATATTTTACAAAAGAACATTTCTGGTTTGTAGGCACTTGATTGTACTCGCTGTGCACTGATTGTGATTGAAGCGCATTCGACTTGTGCAGTTTGCTTTTTCAAGTAGATCACAAAGGTGGAGCTTGAGAAACTCTTAACCCCGTTTTTGCCATGTTCCGAGAATATGAATCATTTTAAAACAGCGTAAATTGGAAGCTCGACAGTTTTACAGCTATTTTTTAGATTTGTTCATTTAGTTTAGAGGATATATTTAAAAAATTCGCTTTCTCTTTAAGGCATAAAAAATATGTTTGGGCAATCATTTACCCAAACGTCCGTCTATTGACATGAACATCATGTTGGCAGTTACATCGTGGAGTCACTTAGAAACTAAATAAGCGAATTTTAAAAAGCATATCCAATATTGCATGATAGGAGACATGTTGAAACATGTTTAATAACCGAAAAATAGTTCTGTGTCATCTTCCGTGAGCCACCCTAGAGTTCCAAACGTGTCTCTCAGCCACGCCTTTTGATTTACTGATTAGCGATTAAATTAAAAGAGGACATTCACAAGTGTCCCATTAGCACCTATTGCGTCATGGCGATATTGACATTTTAAACCACCCTAACTGTCCTTTACAGACATAACAATACATTTTGTACTTATGTACAAAACATTATTATATAAAAATATAACTATTATGATTGTAAAATTTTCGACATTCGAGGTCTAAAAGTTTTGGGGGTTCGCATTTTCGCTGCCTTACACTAATGGCATAGGGACCCGGGACTATACGACAAAATCTTAACAAAAACAATCAACACTTAACAACTGACTGCAAATCCATAAAAACAATTCAATTATATAAACATTCATGGTGCTTCAATGATCGGAAGAAGGAAGGGCAGCGTTTTCTTCATAAATCATCATAAGTATACTATTAGCCATCCTTTCATGTATTACCTGGAACACATGAAGGTTTTGAGATATATTACCTATGAAGCTGGTATTTTGTGGTGCAACTAATTTTTCATTTTGAAATAACACAAATTTGTTTGAAGGAATGTATTAGCCATGCAAACCAAAAATTAATATGATTTAATTTTGCCCCATTTAACGAACATCGTTACTTCTAAAGAATTGTGAGATCCCAATGCTGTATAAAAAATTATTATTGGCTTACCGTATCTGAATAATTATTGTATTCTTGTTCACTGCTGGAGACCGACCCATACAGATTATAGGTTGGGGATTTTTGCTCATCTTCCATAGATAAATACAGTTCGTGCAATTGTTCATTGACAAAATCAGGCTGCAATTAAAAGTATTGTGTAATAGTAAGTAATTACATATTGATATAATAGGTATGGATTTTGTTTCAAAAGACTCTTACATGGTGTGCGAAGAATTAAATATTTTCATAATCATTCTTTCCACTAACTAGAGCCATACCGATACATAATGCTAAGTAGGTAACTTTTTATAAAATTATTCAATTTTTATCTCCTACAATTATACTCTTTCATATTGAAACACGTTTGTTTACTGATAATAGAAAAGAAGCTTTAGAGGAACATGATGAAAATTTAAGAGTAGGTAACTTCAAATGAACATGAGAGAAACATTTAAACTTGAGAGATTCCTCGCTTTTAATTGTTGGAAACTTTGAGAGATATTGTGATTTGACGAAGACCTTATATTGAGAATTTGCGGTGAACTTGAAATGCACTTGACAGGAAGCGAGAAGAATGCGAATTTGGACACAATTTGAAGACCTTGAAAGTAGCTTTTGATGAAACTTAAAAATGTCATGGGCCGACATTTATCACAAAATTAATTCCTTTTTATTGTCCTACTGTATGGCAAAAATTTGAACTTTACAGTGTAACTTAAATGGTAAATTTAATTTGCAGTGTACACAAATGTTAATATACGTAGTTATTTTTAGTATGCACATATTGCGCGAATCTGCATGTTATGTAGTGCGCGGCGTTGGAGTCATTTTAGTAGCATTCGCTCTGTAACAGCGGTCACGTAAATATCAGTGGATGAACTTGGCAATTTATTGTAATACAAATTTGTGATTTAAAAGCGGTTGGTCCTATAGTTACGGGCTAGGTGAATTAAAAAGGTGAGTGCGATTTTCGGCTAGAACTCACATAGCATTAGTAAATTTGCGTAAGAAGATTAATGGAGATATGGCATCAACTAGCGTTGTTTTTTTATCTTATTAACCAACCTGCGATTGTTTTCAACAACCCACGGTGCTATTCACCGCCGACCAGTAGTAAATTTTGGAGTATTTACCAAGGCGAATTTGGGGAGCAGACTACAACTCGATCTGCAATAGCACCAGTGATAATGTCACTCGGATGCATCATTAATAAAGGTACTGAAGTGATCCACTTTATAGGTGCTTGTTAATTAATAATTAAGCAGTAGGAATTTTTATAATTGGGATTTTAGTAGACATTATTTTAGATGCCGTTTTTTTTGGTAATATGGGCAACGCTCGATCCCGTATTTGAAATGTAAACCAGTTTTTCTAAGGAAAACAATACCGGCGTGTACGGTTTTGAATCCATAAATTCTTTTAATGCATATTGCATATAGTGCATGACAAAATGCACAGAATTTGATTGTGCAACAAAAACGCTAACCCTAGAGGCACCCCCCAACTCATTCGTAAGACGGTGGATTGTTTTTTGTTAAAAAATAAAAGATGCACGAGGGGGTCATCGTACAAGTACCGCCATCAATTTCGCATTACACGAGTTACCTGGGACTGTATCTCCGCTACCACCGTTGTCCGTGTTGCGAGCCGCAACAGTTTTAAGAAGGGGGTTAGGGTAGCGAACATTCCAGAAATCTCGATAAACATCGAGGTGCCTTGAAAGATTAGTCATCGACGATAAAGAACGAAGGCGGTGGTGACGTAATCTTTCAGAGACTTTGTGCTCAAACGAAGTAGGTAAAAACCCCATTAAGTGCATCGTTCCGTGCCCAGTTATTGTATTTGTCTGAAAGTCCGCATTGTCAAAAATAAATTGAACAACTAAGTTTTTGTGCAAAAAAAAGATTAACAAAAGAAAAAATGTAAGGTATGCGAATTAATTAGTTATGCAAATTTTGACTGGCTAATTTTGTGTCTAAAAATTCAGGCAGGTTAATATAGTTAAATACCTATGTATGAAAAATCCTTGGAACGATGTTCCCATCGGGTCTCTATCTTGAGTAGAAGCGGAGATAGTGGAGACGTGGAGTGGTGCCCAACGCACAGGGTACATTAGAACTAAGGACCACTGAATTCGTATGGGTTTTTGTGTATATAGTGAGCTGGGTTAGTAGAGCAACCTTGGTTGAACCCGACCCACTTAAAATACTGGAACCAAGTAAATGAATACATTTGAGGATTACAGGGTTACTTTTATTTGCAAACGGCATACTTATACTGTTTAGGTGTACCTAATCACCCCTTGCCATCCACCACTTTAACAAAAATGCAAATACTAACTTGTTTCACATTTTCCATGGCGTTATGATCAGCCTTCAAAACCTCATCAAGATCCATAGTCGACATTTGATAACGGTAAATTAAATCTGGTGTAACGTTGACTGCTTGCATCCAAACCGGATCACACTTCCTGACCGCGTGTGCCCTCTGCAAAATTTTATTCGTGATCTAAAGGAATGCACAAACTGAAATTTGATCACTATGTAAAAGGAGATCGGTAACTTACATTATTCTTGTCCTTCCTACCATTTTCCCCAGCTGAATCTTCATTCGAACTGAATCCATTGTCGGTTTTGAAAAATGACGAATATGACGATGAGTGGCTGCTCCCTTCGTCGTAAGGTGCGCTGTCGACGAATTTGTCCTCGACAGTCTCTACGGTCTGCAAATTTTATGCAGGTTACCACCAAACAACGAAACTTCGTAATAACAAATTCAAACAACAGCTTTTACGTTTTAAGGTAATGCAACATGAATTTGAGAATATTTCTATCCTAGTACTTACGTGCACGAAGGAAGGATTACCTAGAAGTATGTATAACAAAAGCGCATTAGCATCAATTTATATTGAATTTTTGTATGTACTTAAAGCATTATACTATGTCTAACTACTGAAGATGTTTACCACCTGGTGACACAAAGAGGATGAAAGTGTGGCGTGCGTTGTTGTATGAAGTTGTTGTGCATAGAAAGAAAGGAAGGTGTTATAGGGTGACCATATGTATGGGGCGTAATTTTTGTATGGAAAAAATTCCATTAGTTATATTGTTTTATTGTTCCAAAGATGAGTTGTCTGCACTTGTCGTTGGGCATGTAAATGGAAAGGAAGTTAAGGTTTCCCAAACTATCTCATTTTTACGTTCTTTAAGACTCTGAGTCATTTGTGAAACATTCCGTAATCTCGGTATACCCATAAAAGTTACATAGCAAGGTGCCTACCTATACTACCTACTTTGCTATTGGAGGAACATTTGATAAACGTGAATTGCGAAAATTAAATAAATATATCAGCATACACTCTCAGAAATATTCCAACCGCACCATTGTAAATCTGTTTAGTTAGGTCGGTGAAGTTCTAGTAGGCACCCGAATTGAAACCTCAAATTCTCTAGTAAGGATACAACTTGGTCTGCTAAGTTAGATGCTATGATCAAAAGGGTTACGTTTCAATTCGGGTTCAGCATAGAAATTTTGTACGACAATATCGAGTCGAACTGGAAGAGCCATCTCGGTAACTACCAGAAAGTGTTAATAGAGTGATCAAATGTTTTCTATAAAACACATAATATTATTAATCTTCATTTTTTTCCATAATGATACTGTTTTTAATGTGGTTTTACTTTTAGGTAATTTTGATTGATTCTTGAGGGATTCTTCAAATATTCTTCAGAACTTGGTTAGAGGTTCTTTTTCCTTTCGAAATTATTAGGATATTCTTCACAGAGACGTAAGCTGTTCCTGAATTCTTCAAGAGATCCTCTCAAGATACTAAAATAATTGATGTAATTTTTGGAAGACCTTTAAAAGATCTGGTGTGACCATTCGGACATGTTCTATGGTAGAGATATATAAGCGATTCGGCAGATATTCTCTTAGAAAATGCAGCTTGGTTTGCCCACACACTTGATTTAGTGGGTTGGTTGCTCGGGTATAACCACAAGAATCTCAGGTTTGATTACGGTTCCGGAGAGAATAGTGGGTCGAGTGGGTAGAGTACTCCCCTCTTCCACTTAAAAAAAGGCAAAAAGTAAAAAAAAAAATTCCTAATAATTCTACAGTGATTCTTCCTGGACTCTTGTGTATTCTTGACAGAAATTCCCTAAGATTTTGTAAACATCATTTAGATTTCTTTAAAGAAGCTTCCGAAGCAATTAAGAGGAAAGGTTTTCTAGAAGTTCTTCGGAGTTGCTTTAGTAAATTCCATGTTCTTAAGTTCACTAAGATTACCATACCATACCTTACCATACATCTTGGTTGGCGTTATTGTTTAAATAGTGGAATAAATTAACGTCTGTCTTCTGTTAATTTTTATTACTTTTAACTTCGAAATATGTGGGATTTTATTTAGTATCAAGCTCATCCAAATAACTTCTGTCTCCTAAAACGTTGAATCAATGCTACAGATAAATTAGATTACAGTGCCATGGCCTATTTATGGTCACCCCAAAATAAGCATGTAAGTATAAGCAAGAGTAATTGACAGAAGCAAAACGTAGACAAAACACAAGAAGAAACAACTTTACGTAGTAGGTAGTTATTAATCCTGTGAAACACAACTAACAAGTACTTACTCAATAAAGTAAAAATTAAGTGAAATACGACGAGGCAGTTTCTTGAAGCTATTACAACCTGATACATCAGTCTTGACAAGTAACCGTACGTGCTTCAGCGTCGATAAAAATCTTCCTTATGTTGCATACGGCGTCGTTGCTGATGGCCAAAACCCAACTATATTACTTTAGAGCTACATTCAGTTCACACAAAAGCACAATATTACCGTTATCTGTACCTACGTCAACAATTACTTGCATTTAAACTATATAGGTAACTGTTATCTATGATGACTTCCACTGGTAAATCAATCGCACTCACCATGGTTGTTAAGGTGTAACCAATTTAAAAGCATATTTAATTTTTTTAGATTACGTGTTAACTACCAATTATAAAATAAACACTTAAAAAATAATAGTACGTGACTTTCTGCTCAAATCGTACGAAAACAAACAAACTGACTTTAGAAAAAGTACGCAGGGTCGAAAGATACTCTCATGTCGAAGGTAAAGGATTAATAGACAAACGTGTCAATTTTATTTTAGAAATGCATCGTCTCAACCGAATGCCAACACACGATAGAATTGTCAAGCCACGTATGTACTAAAACTAAAAAAATTGGAATCTTTAGAATAGGCAACAAAACAGATAATATGTTCAGGGTAATTGATTGTAGATCAAGCAAGGGGGTGCCAATCCGGGCACCTTTTTATGGTTGTATAAAGTTCTCCGACCTGACAGAGTGGAGAAACAAAATGATCACCAACCTCCAATAGGAAGAACCGCCAAAAACTATATCATTACCAATGAAATATGAAAAATGAAATTCGCATTCAAAATTAAGGATGTGACGACTGTGGCTTTCTCCAATCGCATTTGGCTTTCTTGGTCTCAACATACTTCTTAAACGTCAGTATATTGTTTCCTTTCTGACTGGCCAAAAAGGTTCCAAATACATACCTACCTACTTCAAGTTAAAAAAAATTTAACACGTCAACGGACATTTCCAAAACTCAATTGAGGGTGTCCATGTTTTCTTGAACTCAAAATGGGGTGGACATCGAAGAAATTAGGGTGGAATTAAAAACTCAACTTCGCACTTTGTCATGTCGAACTGTGTTTGAATTAAATTGTTTAAGAGACCTTTTTGGTCAATTTTTTCGTTTGTAACGTAGTTGTCATTACTGATGTTTTAAGTTTATGTAATTTTCCCCCCTTAATTTTAAAGTCAGAAGATGACGGTATCGTCGAAACTAGTCAGCCTTAACATTCCTATAAATTTTATGTCGGAATGTAAGCTTCTTGGTTTCCTGGTTTTCCCCTTTATCCAACCAAAACTAAATCAATTTTAATTACCCATCCCATCAAGTTTGGTATCAGAATTCATAAACACAAAGCCCACCTGGATATTGCTCGCTGGTAGCTTCCTTTAGCTATCTTCTAAGTGGATATGTTACTCAATCGCTTGTAAAATTTCAGCTCGACTCTTCAGATAGTCCGTGGTTAATCCATTGAGTGGAGTGTGGTAGATGCTTTGAACATTTTGCGCGGCGATTTCCGTAGATAGTCTTGTTGATTAGTTTTTAGCGTAACACAACGAAGTTGAGGTAACGCTTATGTGCTTGATTTTCTGTCTGTCTGTCTGTTTTACCGAGATCCGAGCCCCTGGGCCCCCTATAGATCGGGTTTTCGCCAATTGATAGCTGCTATGGTCTATCTTTGCCCGTTACTCATCATTTACAGATGTGTTACGCGGCAACATCCATGAGTGAGTTTTGAAACATTTTTTCAATATATCTCCTTTCTAATGGTGCACATTTGGTATAGTAATCACTGCAAAATTAATCTTCCTTCCGTCTTGATACCATAAATAATTGCCCCTTTTTATTTTAGTATCTATTTGGTATAAATTAAATCTCTATCGCTCAATTCGCTCCCGGAATATTCGTGTCCGGATATTTCACTCCCAAGACAATTCGCTCCCAGCACAATTCGCTCCCAGGACAATTCACGCCTGAATAATTCGCTCCCGGACAATTCACGCCTGAATAATTCGCTCCCGGACAATTCGTACCCAGATGTTATCTCCTAGAACAGTTCGCTCTCCGAAAAATACACGCCCGAATAATTCGCTCGGGGACAATTCGCACCCGGATAATTAGTTCCTAGGACAATTCGCTCCCAGAACAATGGGCTCTCGGAAAATTCATTCAACGGACATATCCCTCCCGGAAAAAATGCATGTTGAGCTCAATTGGTTTATGAATTATTGAGTTCAGTTCAAGTAACCGATTTTCAAAGATTAACTATGAGAGTGAATTATTCTAGGCGCGAATTTTCCTAGAACAAATTGTTCTAGGAGCGAATTGTCCGAATGCGAATGCGAATGGTTCGGGAGCGAATTATCGGGGCGCGAATTGTTCTAGGAGCGAATTGTCCGAATGCGAATGGTTCGGGAGCGAATTATCGGGGCGCGAATTGTTCTGGGAACGAATTGTCCGGAAGCGAATTATCGGAGCAACAAGAGGAAATTGAATCAATTCAATAGGTACGTAAAATCAATGACTGCATTGCATACTTCGTTTTCATTTTAGGTTATCTAAGTGCTATTATAAACAGTCTCATAGGCAACTACAATGTTTGAAAGTTTCGATCATCGTGTAGGATGGCAACGGAGAATGAAAAGTGTGCGCATCGTCCGCTCTTATTAAGACCAAAAATGCTATTTTCGTCATACTTAACAGGTTTGAGTGAATAGGCTAAGTCTCTCTTTAACAGTAAGAGTAGATAAAGTGATCACTATAACGGCAAGGTTAGAGAAAGTGAAACAAATGAGTGTGCATTCTATGGACAAAAATGGGACGCGGAGCATGAAATAAAAGGAAGCTCAGAACAAACAACATTTTGATTCCATGAAGACGATGGGCGAACCTAAGCTTGATATTTTGGACGTGTAAGGTAAATACTTACAGAATTGAAAAGTTTTATAATTTGGCCTCTGTTATAAAATAAAGTTTTGTATTATACACGACGATAAACGGAAGCTAACCATCTCGTGAAAGTGAATTCACTCGATGGTTAAATGCTGCTGAATCAAAATAATCCATTTACAAATTCTGAAAATGAAATGTTACAGCGAAGAGTCTTTGTTTGTACTCAAAAACTACAAATGTAAACACATAAAATGTGCGATTTTGAAATCTTTTATTAGAAAGCGAAAGTCTGTGTGGTCCTCCGCCGTAACGTGAACGGAAACAGGAGTAGACGAAGTAATTCGACTTTGAATCTTGAACCGTCAAAAAGGATCGTTCCCCAGACTCCAATTTCACGGAGAAGGTTTTATTTGCCAAATTTCGGATTAAGGTTATTATTTCCACTACTTTATGAAATGAAAAAAGTTAATCCAAAACAATATGTGCGTTGATAGTATGATTTACATTTTTACTGTAGACCGAGTTTTTGGTCTAATGAAGCCTCTTGCCGAAAATGAAAAAAATTGAGCGGAACAAGTTTTAATGGCCATTTGCACCACCCAAGTTATACCATTCATTCCTGAAAAATCAATGCTATGATTGTTTTGACAACGAATGACAATTTAAAGCACCTTAAACGTATGACTACCATGTTACTACCCGTTAAGTATTCAGTATGTGTATAACAAAACAAGTCACTATGCACCTTTTTTTTCGTGTTTCGATACAAACTATTTTTAAGTAAGTACAAAATTGCTTAAAAGTGATGTGATGCTAAATGTATAATACTGTAAGAACTTCCTCAATGTACGAATTGTCACATCAACATTGTACAAAAGCTAAACAGCACATGCATTAAATACGCAATTCACCTTATAAGTTACATTAGAATTATCCATATGGCCTTCTCCATCAATGGAGCTCACCAATGGAGAATCAGGAGAACAAACCGATGGTAAACCAATATCCTTATGGGAAAAATCCTTAAATTTTCATTTAAAATAAGTCAAAGTTAATATTCGTAGCGAATATTAGCTCTACAATTCGCATTGAGAAAAAAGATAGCAGACTTACTCGATTAACACAGCTTGCGGAAACGTTAGAGCCAATCGCGCTTCCAGGTTCTGCCTTAACTGAGGTGGCTCGAGATGTGGACCTTTGGCGCCCTGACAGAGTCGATTTCAGCACGGTCTTACTGTCCGGTATGAATGGCGCAACAGGTTGCGGCAATGAAAACGGCACCATTGCCATGGGGGTGCAAAATACTGGAGATGGAAACACTGGATTATACATTACTCCGCGTATGTACTGAACTAAAAGTCAACGTTTAATTGACGATCCATTCATTTGTGCATTAACAGTACCTTCGTGGGCAGGAGGGTATGTAACTTCGCCGTAATCGGATGGAGTTTTTCTTTGGCTTGGAATGTAGTAGACGGGAACGACTCCAGGTGCATTCGACTGATTACTATTCAACGAATTTACTGTTAGTGGAAATGGCGGCCACAAGGGTAGATCGCCCACCTATAAATAAAAAAAATCAATTAAACAACTTTCTACACTGCATGATAAGAGACTCACAAAAGGATTTTTCACCTTATACTGTTAGAGAACGTCTCTAAGAGTGCAAAACTCTTAGTACGGTTGCATTGTAGATCTTGCATTTAGTTTATTCAATACCGGTTATTCAGGAAGTACTTGCTCACATGGACTTGTGAAATTTAATTAGACAAGCAACGTGATAAGTTATATTTATTAGATCTATTATAGTGTTCTTTGTTTTATTTTTAGAACTGCCCTTCACTGGTGCTTCCACCTTGACTGCGACCCACATTGTAGGGAAAAATAATGTTCCTGTCTTAAAAATAAGCACAGTGCAGAAATGTCAGGCTCATCCTACAATTTTAGTTTAAAAATGAAACTTATTAAATGAAATCTGTTACCTTAAAGCTGTATGAAGGTTGCTTTGATAAAATTTATTGATTATGAGGTACTAAAACTATACCTACAGAAAATGCACCTTTTTATGCGAATTAAACTTTATCCTTTTCTAGTAGCAGCTGCCAGACAAAAAAACTGGAATGACTCGGAAGATGATGTTTTTCCTTCATTGCAACATGCGCACGTTGCTTTCGAAATTTTAAAACCTTGATGCTTTGTTTCGGTAAATGTATCAAAAGCACTTTTTTTTCCTTTTAGAACGTCTTTTAGTTTTACTAAACAGTCTGCTGACAATTTATTTCCCACACAGAAGACGGGCTTGGCAGATCTAGACTTTATAGCGCGTAAGCCTCGAAAGCAAGTAAGACTCACAACCCTATAAGACTTTTGTCACTTACAAATCAAGAACTAATTATTTTTCCATTTTGAAACATCCTCAAACTATTGATTTCTCTTTCTTTTCCAATGTAACCAAAAAAAAATCTTGAGCTACCAGGGAGGTTCGCTCAGAAACTCCAAAAACCGCCTGGTTATTCAATGAATCAGTGTCTTTGTCGGTAATACGAAGTGCTACAGTATTATAACGGGCGTTCAATAATTATTGTTATGGTAGTTGACAGTGGTTTTCTCTTTCTAGCACGAAAGTAAGGTCATTGAAACGTTTGTATGGTTTGATTTCAACTGTTAAAAAATGACACGAATCACAATTCGAAGCGGAAGATTAACCACTGTAATTGCGTTTTGTAGTGTTAGACAAAGCATATGTTTTTTTGGTAACTGCCAAAAACAGGTGATCCGACTAGAACCAATTAATTGAATTTATGAACAGTTGCGGTCACAAAAAGTTGATAATGAGCATCTCAATAAGACCAGGTGTAAGTTTAGCACAACTGTTCTTTTTCCTCTTTAAAACAACTGTTGTTACATGATAGAGTGAAGTGAAGAAATCTATGAAATTATCAAAACAAACGTTTTTTGGCTTAGTTGGTTCTATTTCCGATTTTGGGCTCGGCTGGAAGCTTTAGAGCTGTTGCCAAATTTTCAGTAAAAAGTACACGTAAACATGCACATATGATGGAACGACGGACAATCTAAGACTAAGAAGTTTTGTCGAAATTGACATTGAACAATTACTAAAAATAGTGTTTTGCCGAACTATCAGATCAACAGCATTAAAAGAAATTAAGAAGAAATGAAAAGACAGAAATAACAGTCGCAAAGCGTAAAAAAGGAAACCCTAATGGATTCGCATTTTTACCAAATTTTATGAACGACCCTTACTGTCAACAACGCGTTACACCCTCCCACGTTGCGCCGTTATGATCATTACAATGTTTTACTCTAAATTGTCGGTTTCGCTGTTAACATGTTAAATAAGTAGAGAAAGATTGACTTACCCCACTAGTGTTTCCTTTATCTATAACATTCGAGTTGTATTTGCCAGCAAAATTCGACGAAATGTTATGACTACACGAGCCGAAAGTCGTATTTCGTTTTTCATTGGCTAAATGTTTCTGTTTTAAAACCTTAACCGTTTCCGCCTCCCACGACAACGATCCACTTCGTTTTACTCCCTGGAACTGTTCAAATCTCTTAAATAATATAGTATTTTATACCAAGGAACTAAAGTCGCAGTCGATTGCATAAGAACGAAACCCCCATGGAGCAAATTATTCTAACCATTTGGGACCAATGTGTATGTTTTAAGTTAGAGGGATTATTTTTGTACTCTGATAATTAGCTATAGCAATTTAAATTTGATTGTTAATGTTAATATTGTTGCAAATGTAACGTCAATTAAGAAAACAGGAGCAGAAATGAATATTCAAAAAGCCGTTGGCGAAATTATTTCCTCCTGTACTAATGGTTTAATGAATATAAAGTATTGTGCAAGGTGTATTTCAATGTAACCAGTAATTTTTGAATCAGCTTGACAATGTTGTTTACTGTTACTTTTATTCCCTAAAATAGAAAACTAAAACACATTGTCTTGGTCCCAGGAGTAAGTACAACAGAGATAGGAATTAGTGCGAAAAAAATTACCTGTTGATCATGATTGACGGTGATACTTTCGTTTTTGACAATGGCATTCGGCAACGGCTTCATAGTTGAACGCTGTTCCTTGTGCCTTTGACGCATCATTTTCTCCATATCCTCATTGTGTCTAAATATATAATGATAACGAAACTAACAAATCGGCCAACAATTTACAACCTTAGAATCAATTCCTCGGTGAGTAGTAAAGGCTCATAAGAACCATTTGATGTACTAGTTGAACCTTCGATATTAAGGTTACTTCCCGAACTGATGTTCCCGGTACTACCGCTACCAGAAACTCTACTACAAACAGACAGAATTACAATTGACTCTTATGCTCGCATTACGTCTTACTGATTGCACATTGGAATGGAGGAAGAACATTTGAGCACCTGATCGACATGAGCGGTTCGTCCACTTTCATCTGAACCGTTGGTCATTGGTTTGCTTTTAAAGAACCTGTTAATATTTTCGTTGTAATTCAACTGAGTGTAACTCGGAGGTGTTTCAAACGAGTCCCTATCGCAGTCTTCGTTTCGAGGTGATGATGATCCTAAGTTGTTGGAACCATACTGTAACATTATTAATTTAGAACAAATGTTAAATGAATTTATTTGTACTTATTTACAAATTGCTAACAATAACACCTATTCCCAAAATACAAAAAAAAGGTTCCGGTACCAATTTTGTAAAAACGCGCACTAATTGTATATGATTTAAATGCAGGTTTCCAAAATGGCCTGTCCTAAATTCCGATGATATATATTTACGTCCACAGAACGTCCCAATTTTCAGAATGAATTTCGTTGCACATCTGTAATAATAGATGATCATCTGTACTAGGCTTCTGTTCTGGGATGTTTCTCGAATTCCAAAATCTTGTTCTTGTCACAGTATCAACTGTGCTATAAATCGTAAAGGAGAAACAAGCAAGATCTTTGTGGTTCCCGTGAAGTTGACCCAGGAAATATGCGACCACATAAGTCTCCAAACGACTATACTTTCTTTAGGATCAAGTACCTACGTCAGTGTCCTAAAACCAGTTTCTATTGTAGTACTTATTTTTGGCAAATTCTATTATATGTCACAGTGGCAGAGCGTTGGACTACATAGCCGGAAGGTCGGGTGTTTGAACCTGGGTTGAGGTAAGAATTTTTCATCTGGGGCAGAGATGGGAATTTCCTTAGATCAGTTTCGAGCATTCTGCCGGCTACTCCGAATTAAGTTTTCCTGTAGTTTTCTTAATTCGTAAGCTAATACCTGAGTAGTATAGGACAAATTAACACCTTCTAAAAAAACATTATGCGGATGACTCTGTAATTGGACACAAGCCTGTTCAGGCCCCAGAACAAGAGAGGGACAATAAATAAATAAATAAGATCACGGCCAACTTCACAAAAACACCGGAAAGGTATCGAATCTCCATACTTTTAATGTATTTAGTGTATCATTTTCAGAGTTTCCGAAATATCTCGGTCAACTTCTGAAAAGTACGGAAAAAAATTCTATTAAACCCAAAAGGGATTAATGTAGGTATACCTTCTTTAGAACGCAACGAACAATCACCGACAAAATTGATGACGCTCAATTACGTCAATGTTTCGTTTTCTTCGGAGGTGTATTTGAAATGCTCTCGAGACGTAGGCCGTGATTTTTCCAAAAGCGGTAAAATGAATAGGGGTTGTGGTAGGTACATTGATGTACAGTCTGAAGAAGACGCATGGTAATATTGTTTTTTAATTCATTCGAAATCTTTTCGATGCTTTTGTCTATAGTTGGTCGTGATCTTTAATTTAGAACCGGATTTCAAAACAAGTTATTCTAATCGGTCGGGGATTTATTCTACATCGTTCTGGGGTTCTCTTGAACTTCCGAAAGCGTCCGGGTGTTACAATGCGCATTTTACATTATCAGGATTTTTTCTATGCCACATCTTTCTTTATCTTCCATGACCTGCTGGATTTTGGCATTTCGTTTGCTTTTTTACCATTGTACGTAGTTCGTTTTAACTTTTTAATTTCTAGTTGCACCATTAGCGTTCTGCTTGAGTAGTTGATACAAGTTCCACAAATACTTGCTTAAACTGATCACTTATTAACACACCTTGTAACACTTTAATGTCAACGAACAGAAAACGAATTTATCTGGAGAAAGTCTAGCAATTTTAAAAATTAGTTTTTGTAACTTGCATCTGTCTTTAATTACAATTAAAAAATTAACAATAAATTTCTGTTTATTATTCCCAACCGGCCCCGCGTTTCACGTACATTTTGCTAGTAAGCATTATGTGATCACAACAAAATCCGCTAACTTACAAGAATATGACCATCTTTAGGCACGGGATCCAAACACTGATTTGGTTTTGAACATTCTATTATATTTTCCATAAAGGTTTCTAGGTTTTTGCATCGCCTGGCAACCTCTCGCTGGGGCAGTTTTGAAGGCCGGTACAACTCCTTCAACACAACGTCTTAGAAGAGAGCGTCAAACGTAAGTAGGTACTTACTTTATTTAAGATGTGCAAAATTTCCTCTCGAATGATTTCGGCATCTTTCAAAACTTGATCGGATGCAAGTTTATTTTTATCTTCTTTAGGGGCTTCGAAAATGTTAGGATTACTGGGGCCCTTCGAATAGATAGCTCGTTATTTCGCTGAGGAAAGTATAGATGGGTAGTCACCTGTAAAACTCTGTGAAGTCCAATTACGAATTCGAGCCGTCGCGACCATGGATTAATGAAACACGACCATTCCGTTTCTATCATTACGAAATCTCCATTTTGAACGGCGAAACGATAGGGTTTGCTGCGATAAACCGATCCTGCTATTTGACATTTTACCATTACTGCAAACGCCAGAGTATAGAGGAGGTAAGTATATTAAACAATAGTCTTACCTGACTCATATACTTCCTTCATAAATGGGAGATCTTCTGGATGATAAAAATCAAAGACTGATTTTCCTAACATTTGCTGTGGGAGGTACCCAAAGTTCATGACAACGTCAGCATCCACCTGATTAAAAATGCAGGCCGATGTATGCCGCATACCAAATATGCTCGACTTTTTTACTTCGTCTGGTACTAAAATGGCATATATGGTAAATTGAACTTGAGCTCTTAACTTCACTTACATGCATAGTTTGAATAAACCGGCACGGCAACAATTATTAGAAATGTGTCCTCGCCGTTAGGTAAGGGAATTTTGTTAATATTAGGGGTCGTATATTTTAATTTTACAGATAAATGGAAAGCTTGGTAGGAAACTGCTCTCTCTACAACACTGTACCCAGATGTCTTTAATCCGCGATACTCTCTCAAGCACACGTAGAAAGAAGCGTGAATATCTAAACGAGAAATATTAATATTTTGGTACAGAAATGATTTTGTTTCACCTTTTCTCCTGTCAGTTCCTTCCACTATAGGTATCGCGATTTCATTTGTAATCTCATTACAAAACGTTTCTCTATCTTTGGGATGAAGAAAATCACTAAATGACCTCCCCAGCCACATATTTTTGGGAAATCCCAATAACGGCGTTAGGCTTGGTGACGTATATAACACTATGCCATCATACATGGAAATGACACAGCAAAATCCATTCTGAATAATAGAAAAGGTCATTTTCGATAGCGCTAATTTTGTCTGTTACCTTTGGTTCGATTACTTTGGTATTTGGCGTCAGATTGTCAGGAAGTACATGTTCAGATTGCTTTACGTTGCTATCTGAAATGTTATCTGTGCCCATTTCGTTGGTTTTGGGACTGACGATATCAATTATGTCTATTTTTGAAAAGAGCTCTGCAATTTGTGACAGTGTTATCATTGACCAGCAAGTTAAGCGATGGAATCAGGCATTACAATATTATACGTCAATTTACCTAAATGTAAGCTGTCCGGGTTAGTGATGAGACCATTTGTATGTTGATTAAAATCTGAAGGCGCCACGTGCATTTGACTCATGTTTGTAGACTCAGACTTACTTTTCTTATTTTCTTTGTCTTTGTTACGTTTAGTTAAAGCCGGTAGGTTATTGTCAACGCTAAAAAAGGACACGTAATAACAATTTCCGATGCTGTTAGATGTTACGTACTTCTCTGCATTGACCACTCCACCATATCCGCTACTGCAATTACTACCACTCAAGAGACTCTTCGAACTGGCGCTAAAAAATCAGTCCTAATCATTTTTACATAAACAAAGGATAGTACCTGCCATGTGAATTACTTTTACAAAAGCTAGTAGAATACGCCGAATCGGATATTTTAGTTTTTCTCGTCTCGGAATCGTACTCCATTTTGAACCTGAAGCAAAGATTTTTTGTTAAATTTACAAATTTGCCGGTATAGGAAATTTTATCCGTGTACATCTTCATAAAAAATCAGAATAGAGATAAGATGCGAGAAAATAAAGCGCGTTAAGATAAGAAACGAGTGTTCAAGCGGATAAGAGTCGAAAAACGCTACAGTGTTGCCGGTTTTAAAAATCGTCGTGACGGAGAATGAGGGACGGTGTTATTGCTATACCTTCACGTGCATAAAATATTGTGAATATTGTGCAATGTGTAGACCATTTGATATCGCGTAAAATTTTATTGTTAATTAAAACTTCAAACACCGAACACCGTATAACTGCAATGTATATATAAGAATCGTTAGCAACGCACTCGAAAATAAAGCCACCATTTTCGACAAATTTATTTTCGTGGGTACTTTATCCGTTCAGTGTAAGCTGCGTTTTCGAGTGCTCTCATTTAAATAAATGGTTACCACGAAAGCGTTGAGGTCCAAGGTGCGAAACGTTTCATTGTGCTATATTTGAAGTGGCTAGTTACGTTAAAATACAAGTTTATTAGTAAAAACTAGACACATCCCTTGTGTATACGGGGTGTTATTAGATTTACAAACGGAAACCGGTGAAAAGGTTCGAGGCGATTAACTGTTTTTGTTGGCCATCAAAACCCTAAGTTGTAAGGGGACGTTTCTATACTGCGGAACATTGGTAACTATTCCAGTAAATAAATCAAATTTCAACTATAAATTGCGAGAAACTTGAAGCACGGTTTGATCCGGATTCAAATTCGTCAACCATCTTTCGAAATTCACTTTCAACGAGTAACCAAATTTTTACCTGACGATACAAAAAGTCCGGTTGTATTGTACAAGGCGTTCCACCCTCCAGTTTTCGAAATTGCTGCTACACTTCCAAAGGAGAAAATCAGCTGTCAATGGGCGAATATTTCCACTCATCGATAAATGTAAGTTAATAAAAATGTTTGCATTGTGTAACCATATGAGCTGATTGTTTGGGGATTTTGTCTGAAAGATTTATGTTTAAAGTCATTCTAACATTCCTGAAGAGGTCGACTAGCAGGAATTTATCCCGTGAGCAAATTCATCAAAACTTTACTCCAAAAAGAGAGGTTCAACTCCTCTTATAGGTACTCGACTTGTATGTAAAAAAGAGTCTGCTGCTGCTGCTGAATTAATAATAATTTATTGGGCTCATTTAATTGATATATTGTATGACCTCGTCGTGGTAGGGTTATACATAGGTACATAATGATGCATTTGAATGCGTGCAGTCGTAATTCTTTAGTGCGATTATTCCATTTATTGTAGACCGTGACATTCAGAATTATTCGAAAAACTCGCAAATCGGCAGCATCAAGTATTGATTTTTTTTTTTATGATTTTGGTGAAAACATTTGCCTCTTTCAGAAGCATGTAAGAACGCGTATCACATATCTAGTGCCAGACAAGTTTTAAAACAGTGACAATGGAATATTTTTGGATCCCCTATACCAACCATTTCCTTTTCGCCTCCCGCGTTAAATGTAAATGTAACCGAATTACACAACGAGTTTAATTGATTAGGTATATTTCTAGTGTATCTATTTCCGTACGGATTACACCATCACGTTTCTGGAAATGGAAGTGTGCATTTTATGTGACACGTTACTTTGAAACCTTTTGAGTCGTGTAATTTAGAAATACGTAACACAAATTAATTCGCTTTTATTTGCGGTGCTGCTTTGTTCATTGTATGTAAAATTGGAGTTTTCGTCACGTTTTCCATGTTCATACATCGAGAAAAACGTATGTATGAAACCAATGGGCATGGCTTCTTTTTAATGATAAAACGGAAATAGGGTCTGTCCATCTAAATCTAGGTTGGCACCTTTACTTTCACGTGTTACAGTCAGCTCCTCGAGATTGTTACCACGATTTTACTGTTATCGATTTCACTCCATTTCTTCTCTTCCTCGAACACCCCTAAATTTGAGATTAGATATCAAATAAACTCGTCAATAGGAGTTTGGGATATTTACGGTTGAGATGAAGGTACAGTGTGTAGAATAATGAGAAATGCCTTAACTGACAACAATATGTTCCATTGAAGACAATAATCCATTCTTCGACATATTCCCCATAACAAATGTTGAAAGGGCGAAACGAACGCGTAGACAGAGCGAAACTGCAATCATCAGCAAACTTTCGCTGGTCGCTGATAAAGACAGCTCTGCTTCTGAAACGTGTGGCTTTTATAATGAAAATAGATTAATGCAAGTTTGAAAGAACAGATTGAGTTATAAGAATTTTATAATTTCGACGACTATTTTTCCAGTTTATTTCTTCAAAATCTTAAGGTTCGAAACCACAAGTCAAGTTTCTATCCCATTCCCCCTACTTTTACCAAACAAAAATCCGCGAGGGCATTTAAATCTTCAAAAAACCAAACAATTTCAAACGTAACGAGGGATGTACACTTTCTCCGCTCTGGAAAACTGTTATCCCATTGATTGACGTGTCACTGTCCAATTTCTCCTGATGGAAAAGGTTTAGCTTTCTCTTTTTAAGTGTTCCAACGTGTGCTGTTTAGTGGAGTAGTGCGTGTTACTCCCGTTGTCTCATTGATAAGGGTTTGATATATCTATTTTATTTTTATTTTTGATCGTTATTCTTGTTCTGATTCTGATGAAGTTCCTTACAAAAGTGACCAAAACGTTGATTCTTCGTCCTACATTGACACGGTCCTATTCCGGAAGTCGCTTGCATGTTAACTCTCCAGAAGTGTCACTAAATGTCTACACAAACATGCTTACTAATTAATTAGTGATTACCATACCACATTTATTAAAGATATTCGAAGTTCAATAGGTGAGAAGAGGTTAGATTCGCTCATGTTATTAAAAACATACGGAGATGTTGCAGATACAATTCCTATTAACAATCTAGTGAACTTGCGCCAACCAAGTTATAAACTAGATGATTAACCGTCAAGACTAATTCTTCAACTTGTAGATTTTTTATTTTTTATTTTGCATTTTTGAGTGGTTGGGGTTTCAACCAAGGCTGCTCTACCAACCTAACCCACTATACATTTACAAATATCCATGCTCGAACCCGGATCCGAACAAGGGACCCTTAGCACCACAGTTCAGCTTTAACTGAACACTTAGCTGCGGAGGCAGAGGCTTAGAAGGCTTCTATATGGGTAAATATTGGGACGAGTGGAGGGGTCGATGCAGTCTTGGACACGGGCAGTTCTGGGAGGAAAGCCTCAGAACTGATACCCACCTCATAAGAAGGTACGTGATTCGGACTGTCTCACTGAGACCGAATAAGGTCACTCTTCAGGGCAGGGATTTATGTATTTATGGCGACCATATTCTTTCAAATTTTGAAGGCGCCTGGCAAAGTGTAAGGCCCCACTAAATGATCTGGCTTATTGATTTTCTCTCTCTTTAAATATTAAATTTAAAGGTAATAAAAATTTCAAAAAGCCTCAAGAACATTTTTTGAAAAATAAAATTCGTATCTTTATCTTTAAAAATATAATGGTTGATTTAGCCCCGCTATTCGTCAGCCAGGTCTGTCATTCTGTATTTGAGCATTATTGGAAAAGTATTGGTTTTCAGCGTGCCTCAAATACCTACCACCAGCTTTCCTACTATTAGGCTAAACAGGGTCCTAATATCCTTTATTGAGGGGGCTCTGAACCTAGTTGCAAAAGAAAGGGCTGACTGGTCGGGCTCCTCTTATGAATAGAATAGCGAACCCATAAAATTGCAATGGCATTGCTCGTCAATCCTATCGGTACCAAAATCGAAACACAGTGGACAAATTTGATATTTGATTATTGTGCGACCTTCGTCTACCTCTAATTAAACTGCGAGGGGTGCGACGCGACGCAAACTTGACGGCTCCAGATAGTTTTCTGGATGGTAAAAATGTTTCTTCACTGAAATTAAGTGTTTATGTGCCCATTGTGTTTATAATTCAAAATATGAAATCCTTTTATATAAAAAAAACTAATATAAATCTCATCTCATCACGGGGTTTTAAAACATAGTAAATGTCGTCAAAATAATTACAATATTTATATATATATACGTCCCAATTCACAAAATCATTTGAAATCGCCAATTTGCCCAATGTTTATTTTTGCTCAATCTCTTTTCGAATAATTTGTAGTGCATGCTCAATGACATATTTGACTAAATATATAATAAGAAACTTACCATTGCGGATGAGAGAGTGTGGCACTGTAAAATGCGTTTATCAAAAAATTAACTTATGGAAGACACCAGCTTACTACAGGGTTGTCTCTAACACAAGCACATCGAATACAATGTATATGCTATGGACCTATGCCCTATAGTCCTATATCATTTGCGCAGAACCCTGCCAATTAAGGCCTTAGAAACTATCCTCATTATATCTACTGCCATACGTTTTTCCAGGATCATTAGTAAAATCAGACGAACGTTAATATAATAGCTTTAATCACCAACTCCATTTACAAAGTCCGCGTAAGAGGTAACTTTATATCGGTATCATCTAAACGTAACCATTATACAACCATACTTATGTAATCTTATAATTCAAGTAAAAGTAATTAACTACAACTTCTGCACGATTATGTTTTTGGAATTGTATAATATTTGGCTTTGAACTGTTTGGTTGTAAATTACTAATTAGTTACTGCTTTCAATGCAGAGACACAACTGCTCCTCTTTTAAGGGGCGCATTTATTAATGGAACGGAAAATTTTGGAGTTACTTTGTTACTTTTTCAAACATCTGACCAATATTTTTTGTATTTAGACTTCACATTCTTAATTTACAGGCATCAATTTCTTACTATTATTATTATCGATTCGATGGTTATATTTGTCAATTTTATTAGTTTGAATAGATTAGAATTGAGCTTTTCCAATGATCTTAAAGCTGACATAAGAAACTCCATTCCCGAGACACTGAAGAAAAAATTAAACGTCAATGTGTAATTTAAAATTCGAGTTATCCTAAGTTGGATTAGGCACTTTCAAACATTTCTTCGAACAATAAGCCTCGCGAGAACTCCTAGAGACAGTGCTTTCACCCTCACCACCCAGCACTTTGAACTTTATTTTATGGTGGAAGTGGGATTTCCTTAAATACCTCAGACAACGAGTAAACTGGGCTCCTACTGCTGCTAGTGTTTCGCGAAAAGCGTGTTTATCTGTTTACGCTAAATTACGGGCAGTCGCAGTAATCTGTTTTGTTGAAGACATTTTCGACATTTTTATAATAAATGTGTGCAGAAGCAAGTTGCTTGAGAAGTTTAACGCGCGTTCTCCGATTACGGATAAAATTTTGTCGAGTTCAAAAAGAAAGCAGTGTAGTACAGTCACGCCTTTTGTTAAGGTTCACTTTTAATTAAAAGTTGAAAGTTTCTACCGTCCGAACAGCCACAGAAAATGTAATGTGTTGCATTACTGAATGGAATGAGTTTCGATAAATATTGATTGATTATTATAATTTATCGTTAGTCCGTAATGTACTTACACTTCTTGAGTAGAACTACTGCTTATGATATTTAGTTAGTTAGTTCTTTTTGCATTCGGTAGCTTATAGCTCTGGCACCTCAACGAAGCAAAAACTTGACGATGAATGTCAACTTTCTTATTTATAAAGATGCTTTTTTCCAATTTTAACCACGACGTTTTACATCATTTAAGCAGCTTTAAAAGAAAAAAAAAAATTTGCATCTGTATGTACGGGCGTACGTTGGCAATTTTTCATAGTAACGGCTCGACGCATTCGATTCAAATTTTGGATATGGATACGAAAACGAAAAGTGACGGGCCAGATTTTTGAAAGCGACCTACAATTTTTATTAGGGTATTGGAAAGACCTTATTTTTCTGTGTACAGCCTACAAAAATTGTGCCAGGTTTTATTACAAAAAAACTGAAAAAAAATGAATAATCGTTTAAGATATAACATCCAAATTACACTGAAATCTGTAAGAGCTCAACAAAAATTTTCCTTTGAAAATTTGAGCAATTTAGTGTTTACTAATCAAACGGCACATACGGCAAATTAATGCCAGTGTATATTATGTTTAATGGATGTATGGCTGTCATAAAAGTTTTTTTTCTGTTAAATATTTGCTTTGAGCTAGGAAGCTGCTCTGTCAAGAATTTGGCAACTAATTTTTCAACGCAGGCAACGGTTCTAAAAATGCATAGAGGCCGGTCAAAAAATAGGTAATGTCAAAATTACTTATCTGGAAAATTTCAGTATAATTTTACAGAAAATGAATATCAAAAAATAATTTAAAGGAAAGTTAGTGTGTGCTGGAAAATGCACCGAAATTAATTGAGTACAAAATTGTTAGATAAACAGGAGTCATCGTTCACTCAGACCAATACCTAACTAAAGTTTTTGCTGACAAAGCAAACAATTCAGTGTACTTACAAATCTACCAACCACGCTAATTATTTTTATTAAAGAAGCTCTTAGACTCAATTACATTACAAGTAGAACCATCTTTCCCTCTTTAGACTTTAAAATTTTCAAAGCGTGTAAATAAGAAAATATACGTATTATTAAACCTGAATATTGATACAAGTAAAATAGTTGATTTTTTTAAAGAAAAAAACCTAGTTTGTCATTTTAAATCAACCATTTTATCATTCAACAAACTAACAAAATGGAGACCTTCATTCAACGAATTGATACAAGTATACATGTAAAAATATTCTATAAATAAAATGGAATATCATTACTATTTCATAACATTTCAAGTGCACGTTGCAGTAAATGTGCTAATTGAGAGTAAGAATAATACCAGTTAAAGGTAATCGGTATATTAATAGAAATTCTTGTTTTATTTAATTTTTCGTTATTTAATCGACAAGTTTTCTTTATTTTAAATAGTTGCTTTACTCAATATTGTTGTGTCTAATTCAACCGAAGAAAAAGTTGAAATTATTACAATTCCCCAGTCAGAACAGAAAGTATATTAAAAGGAGGAATGGCCCAAAGAGTAAGTACTCCCTCGTAATTCGATTTAAGATAAAAAAGACTTACCTAAAATCTTCACAACTTCACCAACGAAACAAATTCATATAAATGTATTCGATGGAATAGACGAACTGAAGGATTTTCATCGAGTGAGGAAATTGTCGGGGTAATAATTTCATAGTTGCGAAAGTCCCGGCGATCGGTTGCACGGGGGAGTGAGAAAACCGATTTGGAAAGGTGGTGGGAAATTTATCTCACGCTCAGTGCAATGTGAATTTTATACCCTTGAATTATACGTTTAGTAAATCTGTAAATAGACCCAAACAATACACCTACCCGTGTTTCGTTTGCTCTCAACCGCGTGGGCTAGTTATGGCTAAATTTATTCTTTTGCAAAACTAGAAAATCAAAGTGAAATTTTATAGTGGCTTTAATATCTTTTACTCTTGTAGACTTTTTCAATTTCAAAATATTAACTTTAGGGCTGCCTAATATAGGATGTCGTATGTTAGTGGCTTTAATCGCACTGCTAGAAGGGTTTTTCCTACTAGTGGAAGTAATACCTACATGCTGACATATGGACCCTAGTCTCGATAATTCTGTTTTTTATCAATCAGAATATAAGCCAGTTGCTTTGAGGAAGGCAAATTTCGCTAAAAATTTTATATTCAAAGCTTTAACCCAAGCAACCACACAAATAGAACCGAGAATAGAACTTACTGAACAAACAAACTCAATAAATACAAGTAACGCGACATACACTACAATGACAAATTCACCAGGTAAAGTTACACGTCCTAGCTCAGCTAAAAAACACCAAACTCTTTCTTCTCAGAAACACACCACGTTATCACAACCCACTCGTATTCAACCCAAACGCAAAACCAAACAAACACACCAAACATCAATGTTTTTTAAATCATCTTGCAAATACATACAGTCATTAATGTTATTAATTGTTCGAAACACTTTCATGTCGTCAGCATACAATAGCACATTTGAGATAATATTCGCACGAATATCATTGACAGAAAGTAAGAATAGCAATGGTCCAAGATTCGAACCTTGCGGAACCCCACTGGTTGCTGTATAACTTAGAGAACCAAGACCATTGTACACTACTGGCAATTCACGATCGTGCAAATAAGATCTAATAACTAATGCACTCACATTATCATGAACGCCTAGATCTGTCAGTAGTCTGTCTAGTAACCCAATCTTGGAACTGTTTGAAATTATGGATTCTACACACCACATTCTATAAGAAAATTTTTTTTCCGGGTCGATCTGAGACAATTTTTTTTCGGACCTCAAAAAAAGGCAGTGTATATATAACCTTCCTTTTTTACCAAAAATTGACTGCACCTAAATTTCTCGGGAGAACACTTTTTCTTATTAATTTTGGTGCGTAGAATCCAAAACAATTCGTACTTTTTCGATCAGACTTCTCAATCAAAAGTTATAGACTAGAAACCAATTTCGAAAGAAAATTCAAAGGGCTGTAACTTTTGAACTAGTAGCCCAATCTTGGAACTGTTTGAAATTATGGATTCTACAGGCCACATTCTATAAGAAAATTTTTTTCCGGGTCGATCTGGGACAATTTTTTTTTCGGGGCTCAAGAAAAGGCAGTGTATAACCTTCCTTTTTTACCAAAAATCGACTGCACCAAAATTTCTCGGGAAAACACTTTTTCTTATTAATTTTAGTGCGTAGAATCCAAAACAATTCGTACTTTTTCGATCAGACTTCTCAATCAAAAGTTATAGACTAGAAACCAATTTCGAAAGAAAATTCAAAGGGCTGTAACTTTTGAACTAGTAGCCCGCAAACTTGGAACTGTTTGAAATTATGGATTCTACAGGCCACATTCTATAAGAAAATTTTTTTTTCGGGCCTCAAAAAAAGGTAGTGTATATATAACCTTCCTTTTTTACCAATAATCGACTGCACCAAAATTTCTCGGGAGAACACTTTTTCTTATTAATTTTGGTGCGTAGAATCCAAAACAATTCGTACTTTTTCGATTAGACCTCTCAATAAAAGGTTATGGACAAAAAACAAATTTCGAAAAAAAATTCAAAGGGCTGTAATTTTTGATCTAGTAGCCCAATCTTCAAACTGTTTGAAATTATGGATTCTACGGGCCAAATTCTATAAAATGCCTATTTTCAAATATCTCAACAAAAATGAGTTGAGTTTTATTTGCTAAAGATTCTTTACTTCCAGATTTAATTAGAATGTTAGTATCATCATCTGCGTAACATCATTGTTTATACAGTTGTGTGTATAATCAATGGTAACATGTTACAAATATTTCGTCATTTTTACATTTACGAGAAATAAATGATGGAAAATCGTTCACAAATATTACAAACAAGGTGGGACCCCGGATAGAACCCTGTGGAACACCAGATGTGACAGATCCCCCGATGGCATTTCTACAATTGGAGTTCTATTACGGGCACCATATCTGTACAGTTTTGCTAGTAGCAAGTTATGATTCACTGTGTCAAAAGCTGATGAAAGGTCTTTAAATAAACCAACAGTGCTTGGACCGATTTGGTTCAAACTTTGCACAGTTGACCTATATGCCATGTGTAACAAGTCTATTGAAAATGGGTCAAACCAATGGCCCGGTAGAGTCACACCGAGGTGCTCTGCCGCTTTTTTAGATGCTCTTTAGGGGTTTATTATACATCAAACACAAAATCAAAATACACTTTTATTGATCAAAATTCTACTAACTTAAAAATATTGATCAAGATAATAAGTAAAACTAATTTACAAATAAATATTTTTCATTTGTACTTGACGATGCGTAAAATTGCATTACATATAATATAAAGGAAAACACAGAGACCGAGTGACAATAAAAACAACATGTCTAAAATTTAAAACTTTAAATACTTATGGTAAAATGCTAATAATCTATTACTCGCATGGCGCATAATTTCTGTTGAATCTTATAGCTACTGTGGAATTGTTATGAAGGCATTTTCGGTATAAGTACAATACTTATCTATTTCGAGACTTTGTGTTTTATCTATATGAGTTTTCTTATGCGTTTTTAGTGCAGAACTTTGTCTAAAACAGTTCCCGCAAGTATCACAAACATATGGCTTTTCTCCAGTATGAATCCGTAAATGTGAACTAAGATCATTTGACTGTGAGAAAGCTTTTGTACAATATTTACAGACGTAAGGCTTTTCCCCCGTATGTGTACGTTTATGCCGCGCTAATATTCCCGAACGTGAAAACTTCATCTTGCACACATCACATTCGTATGGTTTTTCGCCCGAGTGAATTCGTTTGTGTTTCGTCAGGCTGCTTGAGGTTGTGAAGCCATGATTGCAAATGGGACACACAAAGGGACGTGCACCTAAAATCGAACGGAATGACGTACCTGCAATTTGCTACTCGACTAACCTGTATGCTTTCGAAGATGAGCACAAAGTTCACCTTTGCTGGCAAAACCGCTACCGCAAGTACTGCACAGGTGTGCTTTGACGCCACTGTGCCTTACCGTATGTTGCCGCAAATTTCCAAGTTGATTAAAGCCTTTGCCACAAATTGAACACAAGAATGGCTTCTCCCCATTATGGGTGCGCATGTGATCTTTCAAGTTGGACACTTGATTAAATCCTGCAATTAAGAAGTTTTTGTTATTGAAATGCAGTGACATTTTTTTGATATACTAGTCTCACCAGTACTGGTTACCGCTACCTCACAACTTATGACGTAACAGTAACCATACCTGGCCCAAACAGTATTATTACCTTTATTACAAATACTACAGACATGCGGCTTAACTCCCGAATGCGCATTCATATGATTAACAAGTTGTTCAGATCTGGCAAAACCCTTATTACACAATTGACAGGAGTACGCTTTTACTTTAGCATGTATTTTCAAATGCCTTGTGTAATGGGAGGTTTTAGTAAATTTCTTATTACATATGTTGCACTGCAAAGATGTAGATTTGTGATTCTGTGAGCTGAGATTTTCCTCATTCTTTACAAACTGCCACTTAAATTCGAGATCTTCCCCAAATTGTTCTTGGCCACCGTCCTCACTTATAAATGGCAAATTGTAGTTCTCCACCTTAACATTATGCGTAACTTGATGCCGTACTAGTAAATCATTTCTACTAAAACTCTTACTGCACTCATTACAGACGAACTCCTTTACATTTGAGTGCACTTTCTTATGTCGGTTTAAATAGCTAACACGTGTGAATGATTTAAAGCACACATCACAAGATATGTGAACCGCCTTCTCTCCAATTTCCTCCACATCAGATCCATTGTCATTTTTGTCGAGTGCTACTGTATAATTCTCCAATCTCGCAGTGGAAATATCCACCTTTGCTAAAAGTTCATCATTTGCGCTAGCCTCTGGTTTAATTACTACATCCAGCACATCCGGGTCGATATGTAAAACTTCGGCCGTCAATCTATGTTCTTCCGAAATTGCATACGTGTTCCTTTCGGCTTTGCACAGCTGTTCGCGTAATACAGCATCCGATTCTTCGCACTGCTGCTTAAAGAGGTACAAATGAACGACTTTGTTAGCGCAAGCGATACAAATATGTTCTGGTAACCCATCTCCTAGTGTAATCTACCCAACACGAAAGTACATATAACTGAAGAAGTGCAAACCGGGTCTTACCTGCAATGATGTGTACGCCATTATCATTTCGGCTAAGTGAATTTTTACTCCACTGTTCTCGTCGGCTACGAAAACCGACTGAAATTCGCCCTCTTCTGTAAGACATACCCGGCATACGTACGGATAGTCGTTCTTCACCTTTAAAGTATCCTCCATTTTTGTTTTTAACCCAGGGCCAGGTTTCCAAACTTTTGACCAGCAATGGTAAGCCCAAAACACCCACCTTTTGGGAATGGTAAGGAGTCACGCCAACAAATAGTTATGCAGTTTAACAACTTACCCTACCTAATTAATGTAAAAAAGTGATTACATGTGAGAAAATGATCAATTAATCTCAAATCAAGCCAAATAAGCGACGTAAATAAATAAAACTGTAAGATATCGATTTAGAATGTGGTTAGAGGCCCGTCGTTCATGTTTATACTTCAAACGGTTATACAGGGTTGGTCATTAGTGGGTGGGTGGGGTAAAAAATAAGTTTACTCGTAGGGAAATTGTGGGGTTTATTATCGCACATATTTAAATTTCATTGTCCGAGCATGTTGGAGGGTTCTTAAGGTTACAACCTAAAAATATTTTTAACGAAATTGCAGGGCAGGGTGATTTATATCAAAGTTGGATTTTTAAATATTGCATATTTCGATTCCTTGATCAATTTTAGTGTGGCTTTATTGTCACACTTAATTACTAAAATGCGTTCAGCCGCAATTCGTCATTTTTTCAAAAAGATATATAAGCATGTCGGAATTTATATATTTTTTTGTAATTCGACAATTTCTAATAATACAGCGTTTTTCGATTTTCAAAGCCTCTCAGTAATTACTAGGCAGTTAAAATTACACTACAGAACTAAATTTTTTAGAGTAACACCGACAATGTAAGACGGATCTATCTCCCTCTATGTACTTTACCTACAAGGGAGGAAGAACCGAAAAATATATTTGGCACTAATAATAATGGTACCGGTATCGGTTCCGGGTATCATAACTTCTTGAATAACGGTTCTTATTCCAAGTGAAGTAAATGCAATCGATTTCGGTTCTTTTTGGTTCAGGTTCCAACCTCTGACAGGTATATTACTTACTTATTGGTGAGCAAAGCACTTTCAGCAAAAAGTCAAATATCTACCCGACTACCATATAAAGTATTATATTTATATATACTACTATATAAAGTATTATATTTAGTAAAAAGCATATCATTTAGTTTAATTGACATCTTTGCAATAAGTAAGCGCTGAATTAGCACTTCATTTACAATTAGTACAAAAATCGCCTCATGCTTTCTCCTTGTCAAGAATTACGTAATCTATGTCGTCATAACGTGAGCAAACTAATTAATAAATCATGGAAAACCAATGATTCAAATTCACATTTGAAATCAAACAAATTCTTACAGTCATTTTGGAATATATCCAACAGACTGAACTAATGTTCAGCAATTGTATATGACATATAAAATGGTCCAGTCAAATTGGTCCAATTTTAATGACAGGAATGGAAGTTTAAGATGTGAATGTTTATCTCCGGTACATCCTGTATTTCAATGACGTAGTATAAACACTACTTTACTGTAATGTCAAAGTGCTGTCAAAAATCATACTTGCTGTTGTCAACAAATCACAGAACAGTAATATCAACAAATAAATAATCAACGATAACATTAATTAAATCTATAAGGTATTTTAATAAGTACCTGAACCAGGAAATGTCCAAAATGAGTTTAAAAAATAGATCAACAATTAAATTAAGGAAGCTACACTTCAACAAAATTTGCAGGTCTTGCCTAAGAGAAAGAGGACATTTAAGAGAACTATTCTCCACACGTTTACCAGTAATGATGGAAACTTGCGCAACAATTAAGGTTTGTTATAAATGCATCTTTCGAGAATTTTGTTCTCACTTTAAAAAAATGTATGGTAGGTGTCCGAAGATGATGAACTTCCAAGTAAAATTTGTATCTCATGTTTCCATCAAATAGCGAAATTTTACACATTCAAGAAGAAACTAGAAAGAAATGACAAATTCTTACGAAACTACCTGAAACAAAAAAAATCAAAGGATCCATCCGAGTTTTCGGATATTTTACACAAAGCCGTGAACGATGCCGAAATTATTGGAGCAATTGAAAAGGTGGTCACAGAAGAATTACTGAGTGAGACTTATGATTCTTCTTTGCGCGAGTCCGAAGAAAAAGAGAGGAACGAAACTGTACGAAGTTCTCGATTGCTACGTAAAAGCAAGCTGAAAGCCAATAAGATTATAAATACGATTATAAAGGATGAAGAATGTTATGATGACACTGATAGTAATTCATTCGAAAGTTTTCATTTGGATTCTGAATTTGATTTTAAAGTCCCATCTGAGACTTTGAAGGATGATACGGAAGTGACATTGATTACTAAGTCCGAAGACATTAACACAATCTTTTTGGACGATGGACCTCCTCCCTTAGTGCCCTTGGAGTTTACGAAGAATGTCGATAACATGATTACTACTGTAGTCAAAAGTTTACCAGAAAATGCTCCACCTTTAGTTCCTATTAAACCTCTGACAGCACTAAATCCAGCTACCATTGTCAATGCGTTAACAAACGACATCGAGGCACCCGTCAAACTAAAGCTTCAATGTAATATTTGCAACGAAGAGTACTACTCGATTTCGGCCCTTAAGAATCACAGATTGTATGAATGTCAAGGTTCGGGAATGCAGTGTAATATCTGTAAAAAAGAGTTCAGTGATCGCAATCGCCTCATAGGTCACTTAAAGGGTCACATGGTGTCTAAAGACTACGGATGTAAAATTTGTGGGAAAAGGTATCCTAATCCCAGCACATTTCGAGTTCATATGCGAACGCATACGGGAGAAAGACCATTTAAATGCCAAATTTGCAATAAGGGGTTTGTCCGATGGGCGGGAGTTGTCGGCCATATGAAAACTCATAATGCCAATAAGCCGTATAAATGTGACACTTGCGGGAAAGGTTTTAAAATATCGTCAAATTTAGAACGTCACAAAATCCTACATTCTGGCATATTGCCGTACTGCTGCAGTTACTGTGGTAAAACTTTCAGTCAGTCGGATAATCTCCAACTTCACGTTCGTACATATCACACAAATGACAGGCCGTATTTGTGTAACGAGTGCGGAAAACGATTTGTGAGCTCGACCAGATTAAAACGACATATGTGGGTCCATACCGGTTATAAGCCATATAGATGTCGCTACTGTTCAAAGGCCTACTCGAATTCTAATGACAGAAAAAATCACGAGAAGGCACATACCGGTGGTATCACAGAGGACGACAAACCACACGTTTGCAGTACTTGTGATATGAGATTCTTGCATGCGTGCCGGCTGGCTAAACATATGAAAACTCACGAACGACCGTTTCCGTGTAATCAGTGCACGAAAACTTTTAGTTCAGAAGCGCTTTTAAGCAAACATAAGAATAACAAACATGCCGATGAACTAATAGATCATTTGTCAGCACCCTTAAGTGTAGAAGAGGTGTATATAAACTACCAGTAATTCAATCCTAGGCGAAATTTGTAATAAAGGCATAATTTCTTAGTGAAGAATCATGTCAGAAGTAATGTCTCTTGGACACCTCAACTGAAGCACACTAATTCTTCATTTCTCATGCAGAATGTGGTATATTTACAGAAGTATTCGAGGGATATTACTTTTGATCATTACCGTAATCACTGGATCATTTTAACATTCAAGTGTGGTATTTTTGAGTCGCTTTGCCAACAATTGCTAGAAATAAAGAAATAATTTTTCACGTTTTTTAAATTTCATTTAAACAGAACATATCTTTACTGCAGTTAATTCAGATGTAATGTGTCAGCTTCAAAACTGATCAAATTAATACTGTGAAAAATGTTTAATTATGTTAAATATTACACATGCAATCAAAAGGTGCAAGGTGTATTTAAACAACCATCAGTGTTTAAGCGATTTACAAGCAAATTATTTCATGCTCGTATACTTGTAGAGTTACCTGAACAGGCACTTCTAGTAGGCATCACCTTAAATGTTAAAATGGTGTTCTGAGTTGACTGATTTCTAAATTCTGGCAAGTTTATTGTATAATGGATTGTGTGCAAATGTAATACCTATAATGACATGTGCCAGTGGCAACTAAATGAAGGGAATAACTGAACATGAACAATGTACCTATGCAAAACCAATGTTGGTAGCTATAAATACTAGGATACTAGTGCTACAATATTCAAATTGGGCACAAATCGTTTTGGAAACTGTTTTTTATACAGATCTATAATTTCCATATCTTCTAGACTAGTATATAATTGCACTGAACTTGCAGTTTATTTTTTATTCCGTCTTTCATGTGTAAATTAGAAATATAAAGCTGTTATCAGAAGCTATTTATACGCTATAAATTCAAATAAACCACTTTTTACAGTCGTTTTATTTCCACATTATATCCTGTTTATGTTATATGTGTAAGTAAATGGTGTGTCAATTTGGGCTGGTATAAAGTTGGGCGATGAAACCAGTGGATTGTTGGAAGGCGGTGTAAAATTGAAAAACGAAGCGCATTACAGAGATAGTCCATACGTGTTAGCTAAAAGGTTCTGATCGCTAACTTCATAGCTTTTTAAGTAACTTAATCCAGTTAAATTGTAGTTTGACCAGGAAAGTTGTGGGGTAATTTTGATTCTATATGTTTTTTGGGGTACTGAATCCGAATCTGAGGTTTGCTAACAAAATTTCATAACGCAACATTGAAAAAAATACAAAAAAAAAGTTGAAAATGATATTTTTTGGCAGTTTTGTGCTTACAACTTGAAAACTATCAACTTCCTATTCAAAATGAAAGTAGGTACATAAAATTTCCTACAGATTCCACTATTTAGGTAGTTTTCTACCTCGATGGTCCGTTCGGGCTCAAGAGCCAGTTGAAAATTGGCGTATTTCGGCTGTATCCGCAAATACTCATTGACTACACCAAAATTTCTCGGGAAAACACTTTTTCTTATTAATTTTGGGGCGTAGAATCCAAAACAATTTGAATTTTCAATCGGACTTCTTAATCAAAAGTTATGGACTAGAAACCAATTTCGAAAGAAAATTCAAAGGGCTGTAACTTTTGAACTAGTAGCCCAATCTTCGAACTGTTTGAAATTATGGATTCTACAGGGCACATTCTATAAGAAAATGTTTTTTCCCGGTCGATCTGAGACATTTTTTTTTCGGGGCTCAAAAAAAGGCAGTGTATAACCTTTTTTTAACAAAAATCGACTACACCATAATTTCTCGGGAAAACACTTTCTCTTATTAATTTTGGGGCGTAGAATCCAAAACAATTCGTACTTTTTCGATTAGACTTCTCAATCTTCGAAAGAAAATTCAAAGGGCTGTAATTTTTGAACTAGTAGCCCAATCTTGGAACTGTTTGAAATTATGGATTCTACAGGGCACATTCTATAAGAAAATGTTTTTTCCCGGTAGATCTGAGACAATTTTTTTTTCGGGGCTCAAAAAAAGGCAGTGTATAACCTTACTTTTTTACGAAAAATCGACTACACCAAAATTTCTCGGGAAAACACTTTTTCTTATTAATTTTGGGGCGTAGAATCCAAAACAATTCGTACTTTTTCGATTTAGTGTGGGGGCATATCATGGTGCCAGAATGACATTTGACCTATAAAGGGTCATTTTTGACCTAGACCAAATTTAAGAAGAAAAAAATAAAAAAACAGAGATAACTAAACTTTTTATGGAATTTATTATTAATAGTTATTTACATAAAGATCAGGAAAATGAGACTTTACTCAAGTAATGTCATTTTACAGACGAGTTTTGTATTAAACCCGAAATCGGTCGATAAAGTGACACGTGCGGCCGGTAAAGTGACAGGCGGCAGGAAAAGTAGACTTGACTGCCTCCGTCATGGAAACTAACACTTTCCTGACATAAAGTAGGCATGAAAATGAAGGTTTCATGACGATTTTGGGTAAATATTTTTTACCCAAAATCGTTCTGAAACCTTCGCTTTTACATTCTTTCTGTCAGAAAATTTTAGTTTCCATGACAAAGGCAGAGCAGACTGCGTTTCCTGCCGCTTGTCACTTTATTGGCCGCACCTGTCACTTTACGGGCCGCATTTTTGACATTTGCAAATGTCTATAATAGCTCCTGTCATCAATGACAGATTGACCTTAATCAAAAGTTATATAAAAATTGAAATTTAAAACATGGAAACCAGTGAATTTTGTACCTTTGAATATTATGGTAAACATCAGATGTATAGGTATAGTTGCGTTGCTGAAATCTCATTAGACCTCTTAGGTCTTTCTAATATCAAACAAAACGACAGAATGTTATGCTTATTCACAACCTTATTACCTAATCTTCGTCACTGTACTCATCGTCTTGTGAATCAGAGAAACGTGAATCTGTATTCTCACACATTTCTTCACATCCTTCACATTTGCACATCAGAGTACAGACCATTCCAGCTGCATAACATGAGCAGTTACCAGTCCTCTGATGCAACGGCTGGTACCACACATACATCTCACAAGTTCCAAAATAACGGGCGATCAAAAATGACTTGCTGTCGAGTCGCCTTTGGAAGTTTAAGTTAAGTACGATTTCCCATGTAAACAAAAATTCCAAAGGTCACTCGACAGCAACTCATTTTTGATCGCATGGTAGCTTCGGGTGCAGGCTTCATGTCTGTGATAACAGGTGAAAATTGGCCATCCGTCAGAATCCAGTCATAGTCTGTGGGGTCAGGCAAATCAATTAACACCTTGTCGTCATGTCACCAGACCATTGCTTGGAAATGGGGTCGTAGCGCATGTTGTTTCAGAGCTGCTTTACTATAGGGGGGGAGTTTTTCCGCTTCTGCCTGCTATTGCTCGAACTTTGCCAAAATCGGTTAGTTTAGAGTTCGGCAGGAACAGACGGCAAACATACTCCTCAAGATACTCTAATAGTTCTTCGTCTGGTTGTGGTGTCTTCCCTAGCCTGCTGAAAGTATGAAGCACTCTCAATGGTGGCTTGCATAATGCTTTCCAGCATGCCAGCTTTCCTTTCCCGGAAAATCTTCCTTCGGTGTCACAGCCGGCGAAACAGTGAAAGCCTGGTTGCGCATTTACCAAATCCGCCCTCAAGTCCTTGATAAATTGGTTGCAATTGTGTGACTTTTGTATTTTCCCCCTTCCCAGTGATAATGCAGGTGTCTTTTCCAAGTTCAGGAAACCTTCTGGCTTTTGATGGCTAGAATGAACACGTCTGTGTCAGGCGACAAGATGTGAATTGTGGCGTTAGACTTAGCAGCATCAAGCGCATGAAGAAGTAAGATTTTGTGGGCTTCCTCGTGATTGCTTGACAGGTGACTGACATCAGCGTTGTTTGAAAATGCTCCTCTGGTTGAGACGGTACAGGTCTTGACATTAGACATATAATGCTCAATCAGTTTCAATACTTTCGTACATTGAATTGCGCAATTATTTTCTTTGTGATTTCCCAGGCCTAAGCGAGTGAAAATGTATATGGTAGATCGCTTTGAGGTACTTGAAACATAAGCTGAGATAAAGTAACATTAATTTGGATATGTCTCCTCATATAAATCTCGTAAATTAGCAATGCATAGAATTTGAAAAGGAAATATATTATAGGAAAACTCTCGTTCGAACCAAATAATCACCTTGCTAACAAACGCTCGCTATGCACCTAAATGGAAAATCTCACTTTGGCACCAAAATTTTTTTAATTCCTGAACACCTGTGGACACAGAAAAACCTTGGTGCAAAAAATTATCACAAGTTTTAAACAGAAAAGTAAATCGCTACATATGCGTCTACACTAATTAGACTTCTCAATCAAAAGTTATAGATTAGAAACCAATTTCGAAAGAATATTCAAAGGGCTGTAACTTTTGAACTAGTAGCCCAATCTTCGAACTGTTTGAAATTATGGATTCTACAGGGCACATTCTATAAGAAAATTTTTTTTCCCGGTCGATCTGAGACAATTTTCTTTTCGGGGCTCAAAATAAGGTAGTGTATAACCTTCCTTTTTTACCAAAAATGGACTACACCAAAATTTCTCGGGAAAACACTTTTTCTTATTAATTTGGGTGCGTAGAATCCAAATCAATTCGTACTTTTTCGATCAGACTTCTCAAAAGTTATAGACTAGAAACCAATTTCGAAAGAAAATTCAAAGGGCTGTAATTTTTGAACTAGTAGCCCAATCTTGGAACTGTTTGAAATTATGAATTCTACAGGCCACATTCTGTTAGTGGAAGTTGTCCAAGATGTAAGAGAAGGGCTACATTCGGAAATTATCTAAACAAGCTGGGGGGTAAATCAATGTGAGTGATAACATCTCTATTTGTTATTATTTATCGCATAATACGTGGCACAAAATTCGATAACAAGGCATGGGTTCATTTATGGGGATAGGTCGATAGTCAAAACTGTAGGACGTTGGCCACTGAAAAGAACTTTACGGTGATCGTTTAATTAGCATAACTCTCTTAGGCAATGTTAGCATGAATATTTGATAACATGAAGGGGAGCAATGCAACTGTGCTTGATAAATGAATTAAATGCGATTATTGTTTAGTGATCCATTAAATTGATCCAAGACTGCTTTTAAATAAATGACATTTGATATGTTACCAACTTTATAAATGTTTAGTTTTGCGGGTAATTCAAACTGTGCGCGGCCTTTTTGGATCACCCGGTGTATCCCACCATTTACTCCCACATTTGAAGTTTTAAGATTTAGACCAATAAATAAATGAAATTTAATAAAATTTATTTCTATATTTATATCGCACAATAAACACTGTATAGGCTAAAGCCCGGAACTACTTAGTTATGTCGTTGTATAACTTAATCTATCTCCTTCAAACTATCTACACTAATTTTGGTTGCAAAATTTTATTATTTGAAATCACTTGTAATAAGGAATTTTGTATATTACTTCTAGATTTATACAAAATCATTTCTATTTTCTAAAGATAGGTAACAAACAGTCTGTCCACTAATATTAGATATGGAAACAAAATATTTTCAAATTACTTTCATATTGAAATTTGTATTTATTAAGCAAATATAGTTATCGTTACACATGTAAGAAAATACCAAATTGTTTGCTACAGAAATTAGACATCAATGCTTCTTTCGTACCGTGTATACACAGGGCGCGCCGTTGTTTCAATTCTTGAGATTTTATAGATGGGAGAGATTTTGTGGAGCGATTGTTGATAAACTCTTATTAATATATCTTTGTACTTAAAACTAGCGCAAGAAACACTATATTAAACAATAATTATAGGCCACTATTGGTAAATGTGCAGCTCTCTTTATTACTTCGATAACGTCCACAAATCCCCCAAGTTCAAGATGACACTTTGTAAAAAGAATTATAAAAAGCACGTTCATATTAGTTATCATCTTCAATAATATACACGAATATACATTATAGCATGAATAAAATTCTAATGAGAACAGTGGTGGGTTACGATGTTAATATGTTACATAAATAAATAAGCACATTGGCACTTAAATTCGGCCAGAATGTTCCCCTTGCAAAGAAGCCGATTTAAAAACAAATCGATCTAACAGTCTTTGGTATTATAAATCTTAACAATTAAGTACAAGGTAGAAAATATCATATTCCCGTCTATTTTCACTCCGCCTTTCTACAAGATGAATAAACTGACAACGATTCCGGCCGAATTTAAAAATTCATCGAAGGACCCGCATTTTTGTAATCACTAATAATTTTTTTTCCATAATTTATCTATTCGCCTCCAGTTACGGCGACCTCCCGAAAGATGCCGTCACTGTGTATAGACGCTTTTTCTATGACCGGAGAATCGAGCAGACTGTTGCCGGATTTCCTGTCGATACTTTCGTCTAGGCTCCTATTGAAATCTGTACCGCTATCGGCATCATCCGAATCTGTAGGATCCTTTGCGAACTTGTCCTCTAAATTCGTTTCCCCGTGCTCCTCCTCCTCCAGGATCGTTTGCGAAACTTCTTCGTTAAGTAAGTTCGAAGTGGTCGACTCTAAGCTACTTTGCGAGGCGCTGTCGTAAAGTTTCATATCCTGTACGAGGTAAAAATAATTTGTTTGGGTTCGGCCCCAATGGTCGTCTCTTACCTGCGCTCGTACCGAAGCGACGCCTTCAGTTTGCTCACCGCAAGGTCGCAATACTAGATACAGCAGCAAATCGGATAAGGATATCATACCGATAACCATGTCGTTCTCATCCACAACAACTAGTCTGTGCACCTGTAAGTTATAATTTAAGAAGGTGGAAAAACCCACTATGAGAGAAGCAAAGCTTATGAGTGGGATAGCGGGAGGTGTACAGTCAGAAAATATCAAAAATTGCTAATTGTGGGTGGCAAAAGGTGAGATATGATACTTAAAACCCCTTCAGTGTTGGACCTTGTCGTGGTTCAGTGTTCCTAGTGGGCATGTAACTCCAGGCTGGATCTAGCATATGTCGGCCCCAAGTGAGAATCCTGACTAACGACAACACCGTTGTGTTTGTGCCATTCGAGGCGACCCCTACGACAGTTGTGCTTCTAGATTGAGTGAATTTGGTGGTCACCTAAGTTCTCAGTCTCTACCCCGGTTTACCGTCACAAGGGTGCCCCACCCATAATCAAACCTGTGGCCCTTGTTCTGTTTTGACAGATGTATCTTCCAGCAAGGGTATACATTAAGTCATTAAGGAACTTATAAGGCCAGTATAAATATGCATCTTCGACAAATGCACCCCGCAAAGCCCACGCGCAACACAGACTCCTTAAGATCAATAAAAAATACCCCAGCAACCATCCAAGATCAAGTAGTCCTTGGTGTTTTGGGCTTTTATCCTTATCTCTAGCCAAAGGACCAAAGACCAATTGAAATTCAGTACCAGCCTTAGTTGAAACCCAGCCCACTTCAAAATATGACCAAAAATAAATAAATAAAAAACACCTCCAATTATAATAAACCCACTGAGTACAAGGCGACTATGGGGTTTTGTGTTGACGCACACATCTCCCATATAAGCAGTTTCAAACCTATACTAAAGCAAAAATCCACTTACCTCAGCTCTTACAATACGCTCCATTATAGTAAAAAGTGTTTCATCCAATTTACATTTATGTACACCTTCGAACCATTCATTTCTATGTTCGTTAGCTTTTTTAAGAGATACATCCAGGTCATTGTAAGTTTTTTCAGCAGCCAAATTCTAAACGGAAATTGTCCAGAATTACACCCATTTCACTTCCAACATTTGCATACTTACAATTACATCAAACTTAGCATAAATATCGACAAGACGTCCCTGTGAGTCTACTAAAGGCAAAGCGGACACTCTTCGCTCCACAAATTTCTTCAGTGCAACAATAATTGAAGTGTCTTCATAAGCTATTTCGATATCATCGTATGTTCCAATTCTAGTTTCTCGTAATGTTTTATTCATGTAGCTAGGTTTTGGTAACTCATTAATCTGAAATAGACATATTACAATTTGAATAACAAACATCAGAAATCCTTACGTATAAAAACAAAAATCGTAAAATTCTCTTGTGTGTAAGTATATACAAAACATTCCCAGTATCGGGATCGATCACAGGCAGCCGATGAATGCGATTATGTATAAGGGTTTTAATGGCATCATATAGTGAGGAATCGGGGCCTATACTAACTAAAGATCGGTGATCTTTCAGGACTTGTCTCCAGGTATCTAACTTGTGTTCTTCCAACTCTTCCATCGTGACATTCGGGGAGGTATAATACATCCTTAATATCTTTATGAAGTCGGTTATAGTGAGCATACCGACAAATTCCTGTTGCAAGCTATCCCATAGTGGAGCTGCTCTCACACCTAAAACAGACACCCGAAATTTAGATGAAAATATCAATTCTACGATTACTTACCATTATAGACTAACGCAAAAAATGCCTTCTTGACAAGAAGTTGTGTATCAAAAACCACAAGTTTGGCAGATGTCGGAATAAGGTCGTAACATTTGTGGAACTTGAAGAATTTGACAAATATTTGAGACTCGTCTTCTTCTGAAAGGAAAGAGAAAAAAACTGTTAGTTTTGTTGTAGAATCGAACCATCGAAATAACCTTGTATGGGGTTAAGTTTTAATTCAGTCAAAAAAAGAAGAGCGTCGTCAATATCTTGGGAAGCCTTCATGTTCTACACTAAATTCGGTTTCACAGTTTTAAAATTACATCATTTACAATCGCACGCCTTGCTCAAATGAACAAAGCTAACAAAGAAAATGATTAACATTGAAAGAACTTGTTGGCAAAGTGAAGGTCTAGTTCATTATACAAGTCGCGATGTTGTTAGGAGAGAACGCGATGCCAAGTTAGTAGGTCAGAGAGATGCAGCTAGAGAAAACTTTATTACACAAGCATGTAGATGTATCATTATTCCATTAAGTATCTCTTCTGTGGTTTTTTAATTATACGTTATAGAATTTAAGTTTTATTTATGATAGATTAAAAATGTACAAGTCAGTGAACCTATGACTAGGAATGCAAATCTATAACATTCATTCTGGATATTGCAAATGAGTTTTCCTGTAACATTATATGAGTTGGGGTCAATTTATGGCCATAAATTATCCTGCCCAATATGCACAAAACTAGTGATACAGATTCCAATTTAAGAGTGCTACCTATAGGGTCTTTACCAACCTAAATTGACCCTTACACTTGTAGTAGTCGTACTGTACATATCATCTTACTCTCCTTTCACCTCATGATGAAGGTGAATTCTACGTTGGACTGTATTCAATGAAAGTTCGTCGTTCGAAAAACCCACACCATTTTGTTCAGAAATGTTTGAACCTTCAGAATCTCGCTTTACGACATTTTCCCGTGGTCCTGACAAAAGTTATAGGCCGCTAAAGTTGAAATTTACTCATTTTCGCGCGCGCGACTAGACCACCGAAAGTATTTATTTTCTCAGCAACTAAGCGATATACATCAATCATTCCTTTTGTAAAATGAAAGTACATTTATAGCAGAATCTAAAGCATTCAATTTACCTACCTTGTTATGCACAGTTTTTAGAAAAATGACCGTCAACTTCCAAAATTCGTGTAGCAGATGAAAAGTGCGCACTTTGAACTCTCATAACTTTTTATTTCACGATATCGATTTCCAATATTCATAGCTCATTCGATGCTCCAAAGCATTGTGATTATTTTATTTTCTATAACATTACCGTGAATTTTTCATAATAAAAAAGTTACGGTCATTTAAGTAAAAACCTACCGACCTCGCCGAGTCGGGAGTCGCGAGTGAGACGGAGAGGGAAGGATAGTCAGCAGCGTTCGCTAACAAGGAGCGATGCGTAAGAGGTTCTACTTTACTAAGAAATTTCTCTCCGAATACCAAAACTAGCTATTTAGGCCGTTTACAAATGCATTCCGCCGAGTTGCATTGTAAAATCTCAAACAATTCATTAACTCCATGTATCTCAGTTCTTTGGTGAAATATATAGGTACAAATAGGTACCTTTCCCTGTACCCACAAGGTATCTCTTGTGCTGTGCTGTATATTGCAAGATCAGCAGTGACAACGGTATGATTTTGTCCCAAAGATTCAGGCTTGTTTTTTGATTTCACTAGACGATGGTTAGGATGGTATTGTAGCTCGTTGGTGGAGAATTCAAAAACGGCATACATATATTGAATGGTAGATACCGGAACTTACTTAGGGATTATCAGCATGTACTTAGGCTGTTAAAGTCAGTTATCTGGTCGTTATCTAGTGATAGGTAAACGAGGAATTTGGATTTCTTCTGTCGATGTATCTCGCTTTTGAAAAAGGACTGTGCGTTGAATTTTTTTCGTCTGTTTCCACAGAATATGGCCTACTTATTCTTATTCTGTGACTGTTTCCTCATTGATGTCGAAGTTGCTCGCTGTGATAAAATTATCATTTTTTATTTGACAAATTTTTGTGAAATGTAGGTAGACACCCTTAGCAGAACATGTAATATTGACGTTTACTGTACTTGTTATGCCACTGTCGGAGAACATTTTCTGACCCGAAAGACCAATTTGCAAATGAGTGTAACTTTTGTTTGAAAAATGACCTTAAGAAAAACTGTTCAATAATTTTGTTCCGTAAGTATGTACCTAGACAACAAACTTCGTGGAATTTTGTCAATTTTCGTTGTCCGGCCAAGAATTGCAGTGGAATTATTTTTTTCGAATTTTCAAAAACTAATTTCAGATTCAAAAACCACCAGATACCAAATTTCGTCGAAATCAACATTTTTTCGCACCCCTATTGAGGGGTGTGCCCTTTTGCGGTAGGAATTTTGAAAAATTATTTGCAAAACCGGAAAGGGCATACAGCAAAACCTATTCAAAGACTTACCACCAGTCTCTGTAACTGTTGCTGAGAAAAAAAGAAACTTTACCACTTTTTTGAGGGTGGCTCCTAAACGAATACATGGATTTTTTTTTTGGGGGTTTGGATCCATCGTTCCTCGAAATGGGGGTTGAAATATATTGTGTGATCAAAACTCTCTAAACCTTCCCCATATAGTTTTTATTCGTTGAAGTTTTTAAAAATAAAAGCGACTATAGCTTCGGCGTACTGCCATCATCAGGCGATGTGAAATTTAACAGGAAAACGGTAAGTTACAAACGTTGAAGACGAATAAGACGAACATGTTGTTTTTTAATTATTAACTGGCCGAAGCCAAGTGAAAAAACCTGAAGGGTGGTTAAACCGGAAAGGTTGTCCTAAGTTTCAAAACGAATTATCAAGCCTTGTTAAGACAACCAACCGGAGGGTTGAATTATTACATTAAAAGTTGAAAGTTGAATTTAACACATTTCAAAAGAACCGGGGGGAAAAAATAAACTTATAAAAGTTTTGAAACTATTGAGATGACTACATATTTAAATTATTTAAGTTAAGTTTAAATTCGAGATCATGCAGACGGCATGTCTAGAAATGATTGACCACCAGGTTTACCTATCACTAGATAACGACCAGATAACTGACTTTAACAGCCTAAGTACCTGCTGATAATCCTCCTAAGTAAGTTCCGGTATCTACCATTCAATATAATATACCTATGCCGTTTTTGAATTCTCCACCAGCGAGCTACAATACCATCCTAACCATCGTCTAGTGAAATCAAAAAACAAGCCTGAATCTTTGGGACAAAATCATACCGTTGTTACTGCTGATCTTGCAATATACAGCACAGCACAAGAGATACCTAATGTGGAGTAACCCCCAAAATTTACAGGGAAAGGTACCTATTTGTACCTATATATTTCACCAAAGAACTGAGATACATGGAGTTAATGAATTGTTTGAGATTTTACAATGCAACTCGGCGGAATGCATTTGTAAACTAAACGGCCTAAATAGCTAGTTTTGGTATTCGGAGAGAAATTTCTTAGTAAAGTAAAATCTCTTACGCATCGCTCCTTGTTTAGCGAACGCTGCTGACTATCCTTCCCTCTCCGTCTCACTCGCGATTACCGACTCGGCGAGGTCGGTAGGTTTTTACTTAAATGACCGTAACTTTTTTATTATGAAAAATTCACGGTAATGTTATAGAAAATAAAATAATCACAATGCTTTGGAGCATCGAATGAGCTATAAATATTGGAAATCGATATCGTGAAATAAAAAGTTATGAGAGTTCAAAGTGCGCACTTTTCATCTGCTACACGAATTTTGGAAGTTGACGGTCATTTTTCTAAAAACTGTGCATAACAAGGTAGGTAAATATGAATGCTTTAGATTCTGCTATAAATGTACTTTCATTTTACAAAAGGAATTATTGATGTATATCGCTTAGTTGCTGAGAAAATAAATACTTTCGGTGGTCTAGTCGCGCGCGCGAAAATGAGTAAAGTTCAACTTTAGCGGCCTATAACTTTTGTCAGGACCACGGGAAAATGTCGTAAAGCGAGATTCTGAAGGTTCAAACATTTCTGAACAAAATGGTGTGGGTCCCAATTCTTTCTACTCCGAAAAAAAAACTACCTCAAATAAGCGAGTTAGCGCCGGCTCTCCGCTGCACTACATTGTTTAACAGAGTTCAGAGGTTCCAACCTGTATATACAACCTATGTTAAAATGCACACATTTTTGAAACGTTCTTACGTTAGAGGCATCTTGTTTTAATTGCCGTTGAGAAAGCATCGTTCGTAATCTTTGCATTTCTTTATAATTTATTTGTGTTTTGTTTACGACATTTTACATTTGTTTATAAATTTCTACCTTTTGTTTTTAAAATTAACATAATTTAACCTCAATGCGTCCCGTGTATGGGAAATGCCGTTGATTTTTATTGATTTAAAATTGAATCTGTTTTTGGTTTAAATGTTACTCAATTTATGCTTATGTTTTTGTTACATGGACATGATCTGAAGTTAAATCTATACATTTTGGCCATTCGTTAAAATAGAGTATCACGTGATTTCAGCAACCATCCAAAAATGAGACGCCCATTGTCGTCACTGTCTTGTATAATCACTGTAGTTTCCGTGGCTAAAAATTTGGCTTTCTTTGCGTTTCGTGCTGGGTGAGCACTCCCTGTACTGAAAAACAGAATCGATTGGGATTGTAAGTTGTAACAAACAAACACGCCATATTTTCTTCGACTTATGTGATACCTTTATTGAGGGTTTTTAATAGCCGTATGATATTTTTGGTGAAGCTTTTCTCTTGTGATTTGCTTTCGACGCTTCACTGACGCTTTTGCGGATATATTAGAAGTTCTAGGGCCGTTTACGGGACGATAACACTAATTAATTCCTCTAGGCTTTTATCTTCTGGTTTAAATTTTCCTTCATTTTACTTCGTTATTATCTACCTGTATATTGGCTACCTGCATCAACGCATTTGGTATTACGCAGAATTTGAATGACATCGCATTTTTATGTGGAACTGCAATTTTGAGTTTGAGTTAAAGAACATCACATGATATGTTACATTGACCTACTTCGGAAGAGTTGGTTCCTGTTCTGTAACTGCAATTATTACGATCCTTTTTGGAGATTATTGCTATTATGTG